AGAGAGGCGGGGCTGAGAGCATGGTGGGGAGGGGAGGGGCGGGGCTGAGAGCAGGGGGAAGAGAGGCTGGGAGCAGGGAAAGGGGAGGAGCTGAGAACAGGAGTAAGAGGAGAGGGGTGGGGCTGAGAGCATGGTGGGGAGGGAAGGGGCGGGGCTGATAGCAGGGGAAGAGAGGGGAGGGGATGAGAGCAAGGGGGAAGAGAGGCTGGGAGCAGGGAAAGGGGCGGGGCTGGGTGCAAGGGGAAAGAGGAGAGAGGCGGGGCTGAGAGCAGGGGGGAAGAGAGGGGAGGGGCTGCCCCACCAGACAGCCCTTCCAATTCCTGAAGCTGGCCAGCCAGCCCTCCAGGGTGCAAGGGTAGGGTCACCCCCAGTTGCTCCTGACCCCCCCCATGCCACGCACTCTGGCCTTGCCTATCCTGTGCCCCCCACCTTACTGAGAGTTCTGGGGCTGGGCGGAGTTCGGAAGAGGGCAGGGAAGGTCCCCAGTTGTCTTAGCTTTTGGGGGGAAGGCTGAGCCTGCCACCCCCAAACACCTTCCCATCCTTTTCCCCAGTAACTTACCTGTACCCTGCCTCCTCACCTCACCCATGCCAGCCATCTCTTTCCAAAATGCCACAGTGAACCCCCTTCTTCCCACCACGCCGACATGCCCAGTTGTGCCCAGTGCCGAGGAGCACCTTTGTTAAGCACCGTGTGCCGGGGCCTCTACCTGGCTGCTCCCTCCGCACACCTTAGGGCACGGCAGGCTGCAGCAAGGGCTGGTCTGTGGCAAACAAAACCAGCGTCAGAGACAAGACAGACAGAAAAATTGGGCCAATGACTGGGAGAGAATGGGAGGGCACAGATGGGTCACCCGAAGTTTGGGAGCCGTCGCCAGAGGCCAGAAGGGGCAGCCTGGGAGCCTCATTCCTGGAGGGAGCCAGCTGACCACACCACAGACACAAGAACGATCAATCCCCTGCCAACCCGCCTGCCTCGTCGTAGGATGCCCACCGATGACTGGCCTCCACAGACTTTCCTGGAAAGGTAGAGGGAGATGGAGAGAAGCAGCAGGCTCGAGAGCACCCTGCGCATCAGGACTGCGGAGGGCTATGGTTCTCCAGGCCGCAGGAGGGATGCAGATGCGGGTTTGGTCACAGCTGAAGAACCCGCCTCCTTGGGAAGGGTTATGACTTAAAGAAGGTCCAGGGTCAAAGGGGCCTTGGCCCGTGCAATCTGCTCGTCCCTGGGATTCCCGGGCCTGGCCCCTTTCACAGCCAAAGCCCAACCCTTCTGAACTTGCACCACAAATATAGACACAACGTTTCTTCACATAAGCCATTTTTATTTAGTTTCCAAAGTACATATCACAAAGCTTCCTTCCCTTCAGTCAATGGAAAACCAAGGCCGCAGATTTTGAAGTGCTCTATTTCCCCCTGAAAAGCAGCATTTTTTTGGCTCTTCCATGATGACTTTTCACAAAAGGAAAGTCCCCCATGACACACCACTCACTGCCCCAAAAGAAAGCCAGCTCCGACCAGTCAGGGCAGCAAATGCTACCTTACGCCTTGCAGGCACATCCTAAATCCCAATCATGGCACACGGGGGGAAGAAAAAGCGGCAAGATCTCGGGCTTCTCATCAGCAGATCGTATCACACAAAGAAGACATGGCTGGCAATTCAGGGCACAGCTATCACACGGCACTGGACGTAAAGGCCACACAACGGAAAAGCTAGACAATGCAAAGGGACTTTGTCATTCCCTAATCAGGAAATCCCAATGCTCGTTTCCAATCCCAGAGGTTTCCAGAATGCTTGAGGTCCATCCTTCCGGCCAAAGGGACCACGTGTGGTTTGATGGCAAGGTGGAGAGCTGAGCCGACCTCTTGCTGAGCAATCGCTGCAAGTACAAAGGGACCACATTCCCACGTCAGCCAGAATTCCTAAAGGACAGACAGTCCCGATTTTCGCGGGGTTGAGGGATGGGCAGGCAGGGAAAGGAAGGGGCTCCTCTCCAGTTCCATACAGGATACAGGGCTCGTCCGTCCATCTATGGCTCCTATGCTGCTAGCTGATCAGCAATGCTTCCCTTAGAGTCGCACACGTCATTCCCATCCCTTATTTTTTACGATTTAGATCCTCTCCCAAAAGAAGCCCTGAAAGACATCTATGAAGCAGACGGGGCTGAGAATCCTGCCGCCACGCTACTGGTTTTACGAGTGTGATCACGGACGTCAGGGGTGACACGCCCTTGGAATCGTCCCATCGGCATCATCCCGGGAAAGGGTCTACACCTTGTGGTTTATAGGGCCATTGACTTTATCCGGCTCAATGGATGCCAGCAGTCTTCACAATACCAAGAAAACACCAGGCTTATTTCATACACTCTTTATTTCCCAGTCTTCAGCACAGAAGAATGTCAAAACTCGGCCAAGGAGAACAGTGAATGTCAAACTAATACTAGCTGAGAAAATGAACCAAACAACAGGCTTATCTGAATTTTCCAAAACGGCGAGAATGGAGGATAACCAGGGAGACTGAGGCATTTAGAATATCAGAAAAGTGGGAACCATTTCTTCCAAATCCCACCCCCAGATTGCTACATGGAAAGCCCCGCTATGGAACACAGGGGGTGTCACTTCTAGCCCCCACTGCATTCTCCACGCGATGACTCCTGTCTAGCTCTATCTTTTATGTGTCAGGGACCACAGTATCAGGGCTCTAAGACAATGGATTAAACTAATTTCAAAAGGAAACCATTTGATGTATAAAAGAAATATTATAGGAAAAACAGACCAACGGACAGTATGAAGTACAGACAAAATCCGTGTTTGGCAGCAGTCGGTCAGGGCTGCTGCTGCTACTGCTCTCTGCGCTGGAACCGAGCTTAAGGGAGTGGCCCAGAAAGTCTGGAGAGACTCCGGGAACAGGACCAAGGAGCCATGAGATGAGGGAGGTCTCTATCGACCACCAGCCTTCACTCCAGAAGTGAAGACCGCCAACGTCCCAAACGTTCTCTCTCCAAAGAGCACTGCAAGGTCTCACTCGCCTCACAGGCCCTCAGAGAGAAGGTCACCAAATGGGACGTCTGCACACAGTGGATATAAAGTGCATTCACCTTGCCTGAGGCAGAGAACGCTCTCAGGCCTGGGGGCCAAGAGCAGCTTCAGGGGCTTGGGTCTGTCTACACTGATGGCCAGCTCTATCCTCAGAGAGATAAAGTCGTGCCACTGGTTTCCCTGAATGGACTGATCATTTCTGTGCCCAGAGCTGACTCGGTTAGGAGTCCTGGGTCGATGAACACAGGGCGGGGGTCCCCTGCCAGGCTTCCCGCGATGCCTCCTGGTCCCACACTCACAAGCCCTCCCTCCCTCCCTCCTTCCCACTCGAACCGAACACCGAATCGCGGGACTCAGTCGGTGGGTGGGTCACAGCTGGCCTCTCGCAAAGCCCCAATCCGGTGCTATCTAAAAACGCCCACGTTGATGGAAAGCCCCGTTTCTGGTCTGTGTGGCTTCTCAGGCACGTGTGTTTCTACCTCAGTTCCACTTCTCTGCAGCTGGACAGCTTGGCGCCTGGGAGAGAAACAGACAATGCCTCTTGGACACTGACATCCATGGGGCTCCCAGAGGCGTCTGCCCGAGATCCGGCCTCCCTGAGTGGAGGAGCCCCCCTCGAGCCCTCCAGGGCCGCGGCAGCAGCCCCCAACCTCACCGCACAGGCTTCCCTTCCCTCAGACTGCGTGCTGAGAGAAAACTCGGTTTTTAAAGGGCTTCTCTTCCCATAATCTGGTAGAAGTATATAAAAACTAAGCTTAATTAAGCCTCACGATGACCATTACATGAACTGAACATGAAGCGCTCTGATGCCTCCTTGACAGTCCCTCCCAAGTGGGACGTCCACCCTGCAGAGAATCCGAGAGCTCCCTCAGGGCTATCTTCCAGACACATGCCTGATCCCCAAGTATTCGCTGTGGCACACCCCGCCTTCCCCACAACACACATCATTGCATAGGAGCCTCCACAGGCATCTGGCTCTAAGCCAAGTGACCAGACGTGCCCCAGACCCCACTGGGAAGAGCCCCATTACCTTCTCCTCTTTCCCCCAAACAGCTTGGTCTGATTCTCTCTGCCAACATCATCTCTCAGGGTACTGAAGTCTCTATTGCCATCCACCAAGAGGTTCTGTTGATCAAAGCAATGAAGAGGTATTATCTTCCAGGAGCCTCGTTGGGCCAACAGGCCCTGTACAGTGAGGGGTAGGAGCAGCAGCAGGAGAGGAAGAAGGCATTGCTAGAGTAATTACTTTAAGGGGCAGCTGGGTGGCGCAGTGGACAGAGCACCGGCCCCAGAGTCAGGAGGACCTGAGTTCAAAGCCAGCCTCAGACACTTGACACTCACTAGCTGTGTGACCCTGGGCAAGTCACTTAACCCCATTGGCTAGCAAAAAAAGAAAGGAAAAAAAAAGAGTAATTACTTTAACCAGAGGAATTACAGAATCGGAAGAGCTGAATTCTAAGGACAGATGGAATCTGTTGTCGTTCAGTAGTTTCAGTCACGGCTGACTCCCCGTGACCCCATGTGGGGTGTTCTTGGCCAAGATACTGGAGTGGTTTGCCATTTCCTTCTCCAGCTCATTTGACAGATGAAGAAACTGAGGCAGACAGGGTGAAGTGACGTGCCCAGGGTCACACAGCTTGTAAGCGTCTGAGGCCAGACTTGAACTCTAGAAGATGAGTCTCCTTGACTCGAGCCTGGGACTCTGTACACTGTGGTGCCACTTAGCGGCACCAATTCCGAAATGGAATTTAGATAATATGAAAAATAGTAGGGAAGTGTCTTTTAGGGGCTTTAGATCAACGGGAAAAAAAAAGTTTTGGGGCCTAAAGAACCCCAAAGCCCCTGCCCACTTATGTCCAAGACAAGCTCGGCCCTATCGGGTTCCGTCCTTTCCAGTCCAAGGAGAGAAAGCGAGAAAAGGAGGGCAGCGTTGCAGACAGACAGCCCAGCCAGCCGGCCGGATCTGCCTCACTGGAAGGTCCTCAGACCAGCAAAGTCACGCACCCCGCCTTGGCCTTAGCAGAGCGCCAGAGCCCACCTTCCTGCGTTCCTTGCCAGAGTAGGTGCAGCTCTGCCGCGCGCACTAGGGCTGGGTCACCTGCACTCCCTCTCCTAACCCTGCCTCTCACTGTCTCGCCCACAGGCCCCCAGGTAGCACTCCTCCTTCTCGACATCCCCGGGCGGGCAACGGCCTCAGGCATTTTCGACACCCCCCCCCCCTGGTTCTCACCCACATTTTATTTATCTATTCCTTGTTGCAGAAGTCCTGGGGAGAAAGCTCTATCTCAGAGCCGCTGGGGCCTTGTCCAGGGTCCAAAATCAGGACTAGAACCCGGGTCTTCCTGACTCCAACGGCAGCTCTCCAGGCCTCTGTGGCCCTGCCCGAGCTGACCCTCGACTGTGGCTGAGCTTGCTGGAATCCTCTGGACCCATTCACGAACAAGAGCAAATTCTGAAAACGCTTAGGCTACGTGCTAAAAATAAAATGGGGGGGATGCCTTTGTCCTCTCCCAGAACCAATGAACCTGCAAAGCACCCACCTTCACACCAATAATATCTCCATCTTTCAGGTAATAAGGCGCCATCTGCAAATTCTCCTGCTTCTTCTTCTTTTTCCTCTTGGAAACCTGCAGGTCCTATTAACAAGGAAAGCCGACTGAATGGGTGACGCCAGCGGGGGCCTGGGGGGACACTGGAGGGTCCCCCAACATGGCCTGGTCGCTAAGATGACCCAAGGCGGGCCCCCCAGGCGTTACCCAACTAGAGATGGGCATCCACTCAAACTTCTCAGGAAAGTACTTGGCGATCTCAATGCCGTCCACAGGGAGGCAGTAGTGGGCAGCCACACCCTGCCGCAGGGACACAGCCGTGCACTCCTTCAGGATGTCCCACACAAAGTCCACGGTGGGGTAGTAGGCCCGCTCCCCAGGGATGCCCATCTGGGTCCGTAGCAGCATGTCCTTGGGGCTGGGAGGGAAAAGAAGCAGAGGTCATATTCGAAGCCAATTCAGGAATGACAAATAGGGCAACCGAGCCATGGATCGAGCGCTAGGCTCAAAGGCAGGACGCCCTGAGCTGGGATCCCACTTCTGACACATACATGCTTTCCCTGCCTCGGTTTTCTTCTCTGCTAAATGGGGATAATGCTAACCCCCATCTCCCAGGGTGGCAGTGAGGCTCGAATACCCGCGCCAAAGGGGGGTCCGAGTCTGGCAGGAGGCCTAAGAACACACCCCTCCCCCGGCACACCCAACACCACCAGCCCTCCTCCAGTACGCCCCGGGGGCCCCCCCCCGACCACGCCGCAGAGCTGGCCCATTCGTGGGCACAGCCCTGCCTCCTCTCCACCCTTCTTCAAAGAGGCAGCCCCTCGCCGCCGGTGCCCGTATTCTCATGCCCTCCCCTCTCCCTGGCTCCTGCACTGCCGCGTCCCCAGGCCCACGCTGCCCATGGCCGTAACAACCCTCACTGAACCTTGCCTCCTCGAGCCCTTCCCCCTTCCACTGGAGGCCACCATGGACAGAGAGAGGACCCACCAAGCCGACTGCCTCCCCATACAACTCCCTGCATTCAGGCGGTCCGTAGCTTGTACCTGGCCGCTCAGCCTCGGCCGGCCTGCCTCTGTCCACACCCCCTCCTTGCCCACACCCAGCTGCTGCTCTCGAGCCTGGAGCTCCAGGACGGCTTCCTGCTCGGCCTCCCCCACGCCAGGTCTTCTGTCATCGGCCCTCCACGAGAGAGAAGCCCCAGGACACAGGACTCCCCATCCCCTTTGCGTCCTGGCACTCAATGCCTTCCGCAGGCTGGTCCCCAGCCAAGTCAGTCTACTGGATGGTGTCTGAACTAAACGTTCCACCTCCGAGGGGTCTCCTCTCTCCTCTTAGACTCTTTTCCTCACGTGCCAGCCCACGCGCTTCATCCAACAGGAAGCCGACCTTTGCTGGGTCCACGGCGGGCACTCCTGTGCTCCCCGCTGCCTCTTGCTCACGATGCTTGTATTTCCAGGGCCCAGCGGAGCAAGCAGTGAATCAAATAGCGGTGCCCGAGCTCCATCACCCCTCCCCCCTTCTCTGGCCACGCTGGAGCCTCCCCACCACCCACATGAGCAGAGACCATGTGTCCACCGTAGAAGATCACAGAGGCGCCCGCACATGAGTCGCACGATCCTCAGTCTGGAGCGAGGGGATCCCAGGGGCCATCGAGAGGGTCACCTGAGGCCTCTGCCTTGCCCCTGTCCATACCCCTCAACGTTTCTGCTTGGGCAGTCGCATCTCCTCTGAAGCAATCAGCGTCTGCCACGGCCAGGGGTGGCGCCTCTCTTCCTCAACAAGAAATCAGAAGCGTACAAGGCAGCCAGCCCCAACAAGCCTTGAAACCCTCGGGAGCCACGGGCTTCGCTCTCTGCCCCAGTTCACCAGCCTGCACTGCATCCACACCGGGCGCTGGGCCGGTCCACGAGAGGGTCTGAGGGCCTCATTTCCCAACGTCCTCTGTGACACGCCCCACTCACTCTCTACTGCTCGCCGGGATCTCTCAGGCATGCTGAGAAGCCCGGCACCACAGGGGGCTGGGGGGTCCAGGAGGAAGGGGGCTTCCATCAGTGCTACAGTGGACAGCCCGGGTTCGAATTCCACCTTTGACACTGCCAAGCTCTCTGGCCGTCACTTTGAATGAGGCCTGATGAGGCCTGACCCCCAATCCCTGACATAAGAGTCCCGGCCATGGCCAACGGGAAAGAGACGGGTTTTGTGTATTTCAGGTCAGATCGAGCAACAGGACCCTCGGGGCTTCTTAGCGGGACGTGACTAATTGCGTGAGCTGCACCCAATGATCACCAACATTGCATGGCGGGGGGGGGGCGGGCGGGAACCTTTTGGATTTCACAGGCACTGACTCAGAAAAGAACAGAGAGGGCAAAGCCTGCTCTTGGACTAGGGAATGACTATGGGACAATCACTATCCATTCTATGAGGGAGTCATCTGTCACACTAAAGTGAATCCAAGTGAACAACGTGGGGAGAAAATGTTAGTGTGTGCTAAGGGGTGTGTGTGTGTACGCTTGCACGTGTGTATGTGGGCATGCATTGTGCATGTATAAATCATGCAGCACACAATGCATCATGTGTACGTGTGTGTGCACCGCTATGCATGTGTGTGCCTATGTGTACATGTGTTCATCGTGCCATGCACAATGCATTGTCTGCGCGCGTTTGTGTATCACTGTGCATATGTGTGTGCACCGTACAGCGTGCACATGTGTGTATCACTGTGCGTGTGTGTGTGCATGTGTATGCACTGTACAGCGTGGGCATGTGTGTGTGCATTGTGCAGTGTGCATCACTCTGTACGTGTATGCAGTGTGGTGTGTGTGTGTGTGTGTGTGTGTGTGTGTGTACATGGGTATGCATGTGTAAAGACAGCGGAAATTCTTACCCCAAGGTCTCTCGTTCCTGAAGAGGCTCTATGCATATCTGAGTTCTCCCTCCTACTTTATACTCCCTGGTAAAAAAAAAAGAGAGAGAGAGAGAAAGAGAGAGAGATCATGTGATTTACTGTCATCCCATTTCAGCCTTTCATTTTGCTGACTTCAAACACGTAAAAGCTGCTGGGCCCAGGCAGGCCATGAAGCATTTCCTCGCAGGCTTCAGCCTAGGCACAGAGCTGCGCACAGCCCCGGGGATCTGGGCCTACAATCTGGTGAAGCTCAGCTGTTCCAAGCAACGTTTGACGTGCGACCCCCAACGTGGAATGGCCAGTTACTAGCTGCCTGAACTGACTGATCTCACCATCCGGCTTTGCAGGGCGCTAACAGACTGAAGCGGAGGAAGCCGCTAGAAACCTACTTGAGTTGTTGCTGGTTGTTCCGTAAAAGCCTGCCTGGACGCTTACTCTCCATGGTCCAGGCTCTGAGAAAGTCAGCAGATGGGAAACCAAAGTCCAGGAAAGACGGCAAGCTCATGACCTGGAAAAGGAGACATTTCCCCAAATGTTAACAAGCAGCCCTCTTTAAAAAGCTCTTACCTATGGAGATGATGACACACCAACGGGGGTGGAGTCTGCCTGACAGGGCACGCCCCTCTACTGGGCAGAAGGGACTTTCTTTGCGCGAATCTGAATCCATTCCCTCATGCTTGTTTCAGAAAATGAGTTTTTGAAATTGGTGCATGTGTGTATGAAGTGGGTCACCCCCTCCTACAACTAGAAGAAGAGGGAGGGCAGCCATATCAGTGAAGATTCTAGGCTGCAGGGGGCTGCCCCCTTCTCGGGGGCCCGAGTCCTACTGTGCGCCCCTTCAGCCACCTGCTCACGGTAATTTCACAAACGGTCAGGCTCTGTCCAGGTACAGGAACAAAAAGCAGAAGCCTTGCCTTTGTCGTACGCTTCTCTGTCCTGTTGTGAGACCGCCAGCTCGTGGGCCTGCTTGCCTCGATAAAGGCAAATTTCCGACACCCCCCATCTGGCCCAGGAGGCCACGTTTTCCTCCAGAGAGAATGGTCAGGTGCTTAGTTCTTCAAGCTGCCTGCCTGACCAATTCTCTTCCGAGGAAGGCCTGGCCTGGGGCCGAGTCTGGCCTAACAGAAAGGACCGCCGTCCCATGAGAATGACCAGGCCTTCTGGACAAGGATGCCCAGTCTGATGAGAGGACACACAGCAAGGATTAAGGTGCAATCTTACACTTGGATCCAAAACCTCAATTCCACAAAAGGACAGGACGGGACTGACGTGGCTGTAGCCAAAAGAGCTAACAGCGTCCCAGGCGATGCAGTGACCGAGGGGCTGGGCCGGGCCCCACAGGAGGAAAGGTGCTCCTCATGTCCTAGGCACCCCATTTTAGGAAGGACACAGAGAAACCAGAGACCCCAACGGGACGGCCAGATGCTGACTGGCTCCGAGACTCCGCTGTGAGCCTGCCAGACAGAACACTGAGGAAGGACCTGGCAGGGAGCTTCACATCTCAGAAGGGCTGCCCCACGAGGAGGGACACTTAAACTCTGCTCAGCCACTGGGGCAAAGGGTGGGTGGGGCAGTGACACAGATTTGAGCTTAATGTAAGGCAAGACTTCCTGGCCATCAGAACAGAGAACCAGGAGGGGGTCAGGCGGTGAGGAAAGGCGGGATGGCCACGTGCTCCTGGAGAAGCCGTGGAGGGGATCTGCAGTCAGGCACAGGCTGGCACCTGGGGCTGATCCACCCGCGTCACCCAGGTAAAAACGGTTACCATCAGCCTTTGGCAAATACAAGAACCATGTGTCTGAAAGGAAATGCCCCATGGATAACACTGGGCTTGCGTGGCATCTGCTGACAATGACCAGAGCGACTCTGGCCTCTGGGTCACAGGCCAGGAGCTAAAGGAAGCCCACACTAGGAAAATGCCCATGCCCTGTGCTCGGGCCCCAGCTTGGTGGTCACCCCTGATCTCAGATGAACACTGCACTGACCAGAAACCACAGCACCCTTGAAATACGCTGAGAAAGAGCCAGACCTGACTCTTGAGATCCGCCACGGAAGCCTCTTCGGAGATTTCCACGTCCCCCGCAAAAGTAAAGGGCATTTCGGGCTGGACGATGTCTGGAACATCTCTGTGCGGATCTGGACACGGAGTAAATCAAACCCAGGTCACCTACAGGCCACTGCATTTCCCAAGAATAGCAGGATGTGAGGCTGACTCCTACATTAACCGGAGGGGAAAACAGCCACACAACGGGAGGCAGAGACGGGAAGATGATGACAGACATGCAGTGGCAACGAAGACGAGACCATACCTAAGGGACTAGAAGCATGTCTTAAGTGGGGAAAGGGAGCACCGGCTGCCCCATTGCAGGCATGCTTCTCCTTAAAAGACAGACGTGGCTACTTTTCCATCAATCTTCCCAGGAATGAAAAAGGAAACCTACAGTCGGCACCCTGGCCCCCAATGACACATGGGAGGAAGGCGCGCTCCCACACAGGCCTCCTCGTCTGCCCTTGGAAGACCACGAGGCATCCGAGAAGAGCGATGAGGACTCACGCAGGACCACAGGACAGCTTGTGGCCCGGCCCTGCTCACTGCCTAGCTGATGTGACTTTGAACAAGAGGGCCTCTCACAAGGCATCACACCCCCGGCGGTGGAGGAGTGCAGGAAGTGAGGAGGCTTAACCTCACGGAGGCTATGACAGGACCCTTTTCAGGGAGGGTGGGGAGGGAGCCCCTTCCAGCTCTGGGGCCCAGGACACAATGCTTATGAGCCCTCACTATGTGGGTCCATCAAATCACAACAATGACCCATCTTCAGGACCAATCTCAAAGGTTCTGCTGGTACCAAATGTGAAGGCACTTGGAAAAGATAATTACATAAATATCACCTATCATTACCAGTAACTGGAACCCCTGCCCACCCACCAAAGAAAGATTTTATACATGGTTTACAACTTGCAGGCCCGTGGACCCTTCCAAAATGTGGCTCATTAATCTTTCTGCTAACTTTTTAAAACCAGAAATGAGCACGCTGGCCTTCCAAATCCATCTGCCGGTGTTTGTGGTGCTGCCATCACACATCAGACTTACCGCCTCCTTCAGGGGTGGTTCTCAAAGCCTCCACTTGGTGGGTGATGTGGCTAATGTAGTCCTCAGGGTTCTCCTGCCATCCAGCGGGTGCTGATGGATGGTACCACCAGACAGGCACTTTGAGGAAACCCTATTATGATGGAAATGAAACCTGAGGAGCGCTGACAGAGCCAATGCAGTAATCACAGGGCACCCTTCCCCACCTGCTCCAGCCAGGGCCATCCCAGAATCCTCCTGGGCCATCCACAACCCATCCAAGCTGCTCCAGCTCCAACCACCAGAAGGGCGGGGGTCACCAACTCGAGGGAGGCCCGCTGCTCTGGCCTCCTGATGCCTGCTGAAGCCCTGGGATCTCTCATGGCTTCCTCTGCCTCGGCCTCAGCACCTCACCCCCACGGAGCGTGTGAGGGGGCCCTTGCACACAGGCCTGACTGGCGGGTTAGATCCGTGTCATCAGCACTTGGCACACAGCCAGCCTTCAGATTTGCACTTTCATGCATTCTTTTTAGGTCTAGGAACTGGCGTAATGTGCTCACCATTTTAAACCAAAAAACTGTTACTCGTTAAGGAGCCATGAAAAAGCAGCACAAGCTGGACGGGGTAGTATTAAAGAATAGTTAATACCACCCCAAGCACAAACAAGATTTGGGGAAGAATGTTAACATACTTAAGTGAGTAACTTGTTTTTAGGCACACGCCAATACCTTGGAAAAACCGTTCCTAACATAAAAATGGGCTCATGACAGAGAATGACTTTTTAATCAATTCAGACCATTTCTTTGAGGATTTTTAAAAGGAGAGCATTGGTCAGCCTTGTCTGAGTTACTGGGGAACTGAAATGTACACAGATGGCGCCTGAGGGCTGAGCCTCCCACCTCTTCCTACGGGCCGTGGCCCAGCAGGAAGAGCAAACGTTAGTGTTCTGGAGGGACACGGTCGGAGCATCTGGCAGGGCAGCGGTGCTCGGTGCTCGCAGCAATGATGCCCTGCCCTTCCCAAGCAAGTGCCAAGCTCCCTCTCTCCCTCACTTGTGCCTTCCTTTCTTCTCTCGCTCCCTCCCTCTGCCCTTCCCTGTCTCCTTCCCTCCAGCTTTCCCTCTCTCACTCTTTCACGGCACCACTCCTTCCCTCCCTCATCCAATCAAATCAATCTCTTCAGCATTATTATCTTACCTTGGGTGGAAGCTTCCCTTCAGATAAGACCAGAGTATCCCCGCTGCTGATCATCAGCTCGCTCAGGGAAGCATTCTAGGGGCAGAGAACAGATTCAGTTTGGGTATCTGGGTTAGCAGGACCTTTTCAGCAAAACATTAACAAGGATTAAGTGACATTCAAGCAGCGAATCTGTGGTGGTGGATTCAGAATCTACTGTGTCCCTGGGAATAGAGAGATAGGGAAGAACTTAAGAAAGGGACCCTGCCCGCAAGGAGCTTACACTCTGGTTAAGGAGACAAGATTCACAGACGTGAGAGAACAGCATGGAACCAGGACCCCAATGTTGTTGGCCCGGGCTGCAAAGATGAAGAGGAAAGGGAGATCCATGAGAGCTGGGGTGGGCAGGGAGGGTTTCAGAAAGGAAATGGAGGAGGGGTTGGGGGTAAGGTGGGATCTGTCTGCACTGGTGTGGTGACAGTGGTCATGGCCAAACGGAGGAAGGTGTGACGAGCAGGAATATTTATAGGAAAAAATAAAAAGGAACTGATGAGAAGATAGGTACGGGGGATGAGAAAAGAAGGAAGTCACCAGTGACTGGGATGCTCAAGCAGGGTCTCTTGTGGAAAGATGAGAACAGAAGTCAGGTGCCGGGTTCGGTTTTCATTTGTTTAGAGGTGGGAGGTAAGGCATAAGTCCAACTTCACATAGCCCGAGCTTTGGATGACCCCAAGACATTTAAGGAGGAATTTCCAATAGACAGCTGGACATTTGGGTCAAAAGCTCAGGGGAGAAGACAGGACGGGAGACAGAAACAGGCGTCATCAACATGGAGGCGATAATCAAGCGCGTGGATATGTCCAAGTCTTTGCTGTTTTCAACACCCCTCAGTCGGATAAAGTATCCCTATAATACAGGCTGTGGGGTCCTGGCTGAGCAGCCTCAGAACAAGGCCCCTTTGCTCCTCTTGGGAATGGGGGTCAACACAGCTGTCCCTCAGAGGGAACTCTGTGCTCTTATTCAACAATGCTGGAGCAAGGTGCTTGGGCACTGGTCATCTTCACTGGACTAGACTAATAGTAAGCATGAGCAAAGCAGAAGGTGGACAGGGGCAGGTTGGGGAGAAAGGGAACCCTCAGAGTTCTTGCTGTTAGAGAACCCCAATGTGAATGGCAGTCTAGGGTTCTGGGCCCTAACGGTGTTTAGAATTACCTTCAATTTAGCGCATCATCAGCCTAAGGACCCCAAAGAAACAAGGTAATTTCTCGAGATGCGTTAAGGAGTCTGAGAAGACTCACGTGGCCAGCCACAGCCTCTGTGGCCTGCTAGGTGAGAGGACCCTCCTGGAAGGCCCCAGAGGACACTTCCCATGCTTGAGGACTGAGGACTTGGGCTTTGGATACTGACAACGCATTCACTCTGCCGGCTCATCGATGATCGAAGGAGATCATCTGTAACGCACTAACAGGAGTGCCTGACACACAGGAGGGGCTTCATAAATGCCTGGTCCCTCGCTCCTCCCCTCCATCCGCAGCCCCAACGCCTCCTGCCTTTCTGGGCCTAAGACCAAGACATGCCCTCCGTGTCAAAAGGAAGAGGAGGAGGGCTGACCGAGGTTCTCACTGAGGTAGTCGCCATCACCAAGGCAGCCCTCTGCCATTTCTAGAATATTCCAAAGTTCCTCTAAAACCATGAACCACCAAATGTGGGAGACAGGAGGAGCCGTGGAGGGTAGCTTTGGAAACATAAAGTACTGCAGCAATCAGTTTGATTAGTATCATTAAATCCAAAATATAATTTTACAGATGAGAAAATGGGCTAGGAGACGTTAAGGGACGTGTCCAAGGTCACCTGGTTAGTGACAGGCAGAGAGCCATGAGGACCACTCCTGCCTGCTGATGACCACCCCAACGCCCATGGAATGGTCCTGCTCACGGGGAGGGCAAGTCTACATCACTGAATGCAAGACAGACTTCACCACTCGGGGAGATCAAAAGTAAGTAGAAAAACATCTTACTTCCTCATTTAAAGGTTCTCCAGCTTCAAAGCACCAATCCATTTTGCGCAAATGCCACGCGTCACCTATGACAAAATAAAAATCTGCATGAAGGCATTCTTATAAGGATGCTCATCAAGATGCCACCTTTCTTTGGATCCAACGCAGCTCCAACAGGGTGATACGTGAGGGAGGCGGGGGCCAAGGGCACCCGCTGGTGCGTTGATGGACATACCTGCCCTGATGAAACGGGCAAGTGCATCACCCTTCCTCCAGCGTGCATGAGTGAGTGCAAAGAGGCCGGGCACATCCTCCCAGCACTTAATTCACCCCCTTTCACGGGGAGTTTCGGGCCTCCAACCAAATGCCACACAAGTTGCTGCATGCTATAAAAATTAATGAATTATAGGTGAATGGACATAAATAATGAGGGTATATAAAATCACTGGGGACAGACAAGGGGCAAGATAGGAGGGACAACAAAGAGGTGGGGAAGAGGGCAGAGGGACTGAGGCCGGGATGCTCTGAGAAGCCGGGACATCCGCCAGGAGAGGTGGGGCGGGCACCAGGACCTTTAAGCAATCTGCTCACGGCCAATAAAAGGCAGTAAGCTCAACTCCGCGCCGGGAGGAAAGGAAGAAAGATATCCCAAAGTGGAAGGCTCGCTAAGACGGTCTGGTCACAAGATTTGGATCTCTGGGCTGCAGTTAAAAATAAAGTAATGGTAGGCTCTTGGCCAGGGATGAACTCTGTGCAGCAAGGACCAGGAGAAGCATGTGCGTCTGTCTTATGAACATGGCGACGGAGGATTTAAATTGAAAATGGAAGATGAGGGGAAAGCTACTGGTGTGGGCCACGCCAAACACCAAAGAGAGAGATGCAGGTCTAGCGCTGGGCTAAGAATGCCGATCGGAAGGGGACGAGTATTTCCAAGAGACAAGACCCCAACCAAAACCGTGGTCTCAGAGACCAATATACAAATGGAAAATGAGGTAAGCCGGATCTCCTGGTGTGAGAAGGGAGTTCAAGTTCAGAGATGACATGAAGACATGGAGGGATGGTCCCAAGAGCAGGGCGTACTTTTTAATTCGAAGAGGACCAGACGCATCACCGGGCAGCCCACTATAGGAAGAAGAGTGCAGGGCTCTGAGTCACTCAGCAAGCACTTAGCGACTACTATACCCGGGGATCAAAGACCAGACAGAACCGATGCCTGTCTTCGAGGAGCTTCCCTTCGGCCAGAACCCTCCCTGCTGGATCGAGCCTCCCACGCTGTGTCACCAGTAACAAGCCACAACTTCAGAGGTCAGTTTCCTCACCTGTAAAATGGGGATAAAGTACATCCCAGAGTACTTACCTCGCAGCCTGGTTGTGAAAAACGAGATCGTGTCTGGGAAGCACTAGAGAGACATCAACTACTGGAATACCATCGTCATCGTTATTAACATGTGGAAAATCCAGAGACCACTCAAGGAAAAGAAGAACATTTGTTGAGGATCAGCAGACCCTCAGACAGGGAATCTGGGGAACCCTCAGCGCCAGCACTGAGCCCAGACGCCGAGTGGCGGCTCTCCCAACTACACGGAGTAGATGTTCAATCCCAAACCCGCCTTCACAACAATCTCATTCTTCAAAAGACGGTGGGAGTGACGCTGGCCACCGCCCCCTGGACCTGACTGTGACCACTGAGAATGGCCTGGCTGCGGCAGCAGGAACAGTGGGGTCTTGGAAGGAGATGGCTATGCCACCCCCGGACAGCTCGGCCAGCACCCCAGAGAGGCACTGCTCCCTGTCCCTTCCTCCCAATCGATGCCGTCCCCACCCACTCTGTGTCCATAGGCCACCCCACTCTCCCCTTCCTCTGGGCTACTGCCAATCAACTTCCCGTCCGTGACCAGCCCGATACACTGGGCCACCAGGAAGCTAGTGACTTCCAACCCCTCCCGGCCCCCTCGCCTGCTCAGTGGCATCTGGCAGTCTTCATCCTCATGACGTCTCCACAGCATCTGACCCTACTCACCACCCCCACCTCCTGCTCAGCACTCCCCATCCCCATGGGCTCTTGATCTTTTCAAAAGAGATAAAATAGCTTGTTTTTCAATCTCATGTACCTTACACATTTAAAAAAGAAGATTCTGAGAAAAAAGGGGTCCGTAAACGTCCCCAGATCTGCTACCCAAGGTGGGGCCTGGACACACAAAAAGGCAAAGTCCTAATTCGAGTGACTCTTCCTGTTTTCATCACAACAGAATTCTCTCCTGGTTCTCCTCAAACCTTCTGGCTGCTCCTTCTTCTGTATCTCAGCTCTTGTGAGTATACCCCAAAGGTCTGTCCTGGGTCCTCATCTCTCTCGGTGACCTCAGGATCTCCCATGAGTTCAGCTACCACCTATGAAACTCTCCTATTTATAAACACGACCCAAGTTTTTCTCTCACATTCCAGTCCCACATCACCAGCTGGCTACTGGATATCTCCAAATGGAGGCCCCCAAAGAACCGAACTCCCGTCCAAAACAAAACTCTGGTCCCTTCCCCTTGTCCTCACTTCTCTGTTCTGTTGGGGACACCCTCGTTTAATCCCACCAGCCAGGTCCGACAAGAATTCTCTACTGTACGGACTCTTCCTCCCCCTCACACCTCTCCTCCAGTCAGAGTCTCCTGCATCCATCACCTGCTCTCCACTTATCTAGCCACCACCCCACTGCAGGCCCGTGTCACCTCCTGCCTGGACAACAGAGTCCTAACTGGTCACCTTGACGCATGTCTTTCCCCTTTCCAACACACCCACCAGAGTTGCCCAAGTGACAGTGCTAAATCAAGGGCTCAAAAGCCTCAGGGGCTCCTTCCTTCTTGCCTTGAGGACAGACTACAAACTCCTCTGCTGGACCCTGATAGCCCTTCCCAAACGGTCTCCAGTCTAACAATGCAGGCTTACCACACAGTCCTCCCCGAATGTACTTTACGGTCCAGCCAGTATTCTCCCATCACGTAACACTCCTGCTCCCACCACACCTTGTCCCCTGGGAAGGCAGAGTTCAAGTGAAACTTCCTGATGAAGGCTGACTCTGACCCTGAGCTGCTAGCACCCCCCAATTACTCTGGACACATTCACATTCACTTTTCTGTGGATGCACCAGCTCCCTGCCAGTTGGCTCCTCTGTATCTCCAGCATCTGGAACAGAAGCATGTGCCTGAGAAGTGTTTGCTGAACGGAAGGCTGGGGAGGGGACCATGACTAAAAGTCCCACAGGACAAGTCAACCCACGCAGAACCTAATGACAAAATCCTAGAAACTCAAGTGGATGCACAAGGAATTCACGGACAAAGAGAGATCTGTAAAGCCTTGAAGAGCGGCTGGAAGTGGTTGAGGACAAATCCCCAAGAGACGTGGTGGTCTTGTAAAGGCATCCATCAGACCCACTCAAGGTCCAAATAAACTGAGGCGGAAGACAGGAGTGAGAGGTACAAGACCACGATGACCCACAATGGAGAAAGGGCAGAAAGACTCAACTCTACCTCCATCAATCTGGACCTGACAAGACATGTCAAAAATGGTTAACAAGGTAGTGCGTCATTGGGGAATTCCAGTGGCCAAGCCAGGACTCTGAAGGACTGGCAGATAGGACGATGGAAAGGCCACACAACTGGAGATGGGCAAACACTGCCTTCATTTTTTGAGGGAATAGGAGTCTCTGGACTAATGCAGACCAGCGATCTTGCCTTTCCTTCTGGCAACACCTCCGGCAACCAGACTGCTCAACTCCAGAGACTTCCTTCCCTCCCAACCTCGGCCACCCACCAACACGGTCACACCTCCAGCTCTGCCATTTCAACTTCCATGAAACTCCACTCCGAGTCTCTTTTCTCCCTAAACATATTTTTTTGCCTGAATCATGACCTTTGGTTCCTGAACCATCCCTACTGTCCCAATGCATCTACCTCAGTTCACCTTCACACCTGTACTGACCCAGTGGTTTCCTACCTTCAGGCTCCACTAGCTACTAACCTGAAATTCTTGGTCAGTCAGTTCTCACGGCGGATGCCCACCGTTCAAGTACAGATGAATGGTCATAAAGAGTTTATATAGACAAGAAAGTAGGCATATAGGATCAAGTCATGTGTTCTCTTGGTCACTTATTTGGGATATTACTATAGTCACAGTGACGTTCCTTAGGCATTAATCCTCCCTCTCCTGTTCTACAACTGAAGATTGTGAATGGGATAAAAATCACACCACCCAATAGATCCACCACCTACAAATCATGGTATCCAACCTGAGCACCATCAAGGGACAACAGAACCACTACACTTGGCCTTCAATGTCACAGTTCCAAGAAGTGCTTACAGAGATAGAAATGGCAGTGAGAAGAACAAAGATGAGATAACAGTGGCCCCATGAGAGAGCCATGGCGGACCCAGCGTATTCAGAAATCAGGGCTGGAGGCGATACGACAGGTGGTCGCTGAGGGGCTGACATACAGAGAATATGGAGGAAAGGGAGGTTACCAAAGAGTTAGCCAATATATGAAGGAGAGAACATCAGTGACTTTGCACCAGAGCCTACGTTCTTACGTAGGCAAACTCTTCATGAGGCTTACTGCTAGGGAGGAAGAAGGCTTTCACAAGTGATCTTCAACAATGGGCCAGCATCTTGAGCACTCCCAATTAAATTAAAGATGTGGAGAACATCAAATTTCACTGGGCTTATTTGTGGATTATGAAAAAGCATCTGATTTGGCGGGAATCAAACACAGGTTAAAGGCCATTTTCCAACAAGAAGTTCATAGTGAGGACAGGATGCCTGTCATCACCGCCATCATTCAACATGGTGCTAGAAATGCTGGTTATAGCAACGAGAGAAGAAAAAGAAATGGAGGCTATTAGAAGAGGCAATGAGGAAGCAAAGCTATCCCTCTCTGCAGATGACATGAGGGTATACTTACAGAATCCTAGAGATTCAACTAAAAAACCAGTTAAAACAATTAACAACTTCAGCAAAGTTGGAGGATATAAATAAACCAGCAGCATTTCTACAGGCTACCAACAATACCCAGCAGGAGGAGAGCTAGAAAGAGAAATCCCATTTAAATAACTACTACGGACGAGATAAAATACTTGGGAGTCTCCCTGCCAAGACAAACCCAGAAACTATATGAACACAATTACAAAACACTTTTCACACAAATAAAGTCAGATCTAAACAATTAGAAAAATATTAATTGCCAATATAATGACAATTTTAGCTAAATTAATTTACTTATTCAGTGCCATACCCATCAAACTACCAAAGAATTATTTCATAGAGCTAGAAAAATAGTAACAAAATTTATCTGGAAAAACAAAAGGTCCAGAAGATCAAGGGAATCAATGAAAAAAAGGTTAAGGAAAGTGGCCTAACCATAGCAGATATCAACCTTCATTATAAATCATCAAAACAATCTGATACTGGCTAAGAAATAGAATGGAGACTCAGTGGAATAATCAAGTACATAAAACACAGAAGTAAATGACCACTATGGCTGGTACAATGGATACAGCACTAGGCCTGGAGTCAGGAAGACAACGTCCTAAGTTCAAATCTGGCCTCAGATACTTAGTAGCCATGTGACCCTGGATAAGTCATTTAACCGTGTTTGCCTCAGTTTCCTCATCTGTCAAATGAGCTGGAGGACATGGCAAACCACTCCAGTGTCTTGGCCAAGAAAACCCCAAATGGGATCACAACAAATTATCATGTTAATCTAGAGTTTGATAAATCCCAAAATTCCAGCTTTTGCAGTAAGAACTCAACCATTTAATAGAAATTGCTGGGAAAACCGGAAAGCAGTTTGGCACAAACGAGACATAGAGCAGCAACTCACACCATACACCAAAATGAGGTCCAAATGGACCACTGATTTCGTCATAAAAGGTCATATCATAAGTAAATTAGGGGAACATGAAAAAATGTGCTTTTCAGATCTATGCATAAGGGAAGAGTGATTGACCAAGCAAAACAAAGGAGATCAGAGGAAGCAAAACAGATCATCTGGATTACATCAAACTAAAAAGCTTTTCGCACAAACAAAACTAGACAGAAAACAGAAAACTGGGGGAAATTTTTCAACAAGTTTCATTTCTCAACTACATAGGGAAGTGAACCAAATTTATAAAAATAAGAGTCACTCCCCAGTTGATAAATGGTCATAGGATATGAACAGGAAGTTTTTCAAAAGAAGAAATCAAAACTATCAATAGTCACATGAAAATTGCTCTAAATCAGTACTACTGATTAGAGAAACACAAATTAAAACAACTCTGAGACAGCACCTCACGCTTACCGGATAGGCTCACATGACAGAAAAGGAAAATGACAAACGCTAGAGGGGCTGCAGAAAAACTGGGACAGTGACACATGGCTGACGGAGCCGTAAACTCATCCAGCCATTCTGGAGAACAGTTTGGAACTATGCCCAAAGGGCTGTAAGACTGTGCATATCCTCTGACCCAGCAATACCACTTCTGGGGCTGTATCCCAAAGAGATCGTGCAAATGGGAAAAGGACCCACATGTACAAAAATATTGATAGCAGCTCTCTGTGTGGTGGCCAAGAATTAGAAATTGAGGGAATTTCCAATTAATTAATTGGGTAATGGCTGATATGATTGTGATGGAATATTATTTTGCCATAAGAAATGATGAGCAGGAGGTTTCAGAAAAACCTGGGAAGACTTCTACGAACTGATGCAAAGTGAAGTGAGCAGAACCAGGAGAAGGTTGTGCACAGTCTCAGTGATATCATAGGGATGATCAACCGTGAAAGACTGAGCTACTCTGATCAAGAAAACGATCTAAGACAATTCCAAGTGAGCCATGATGGAAAATGCCATCCATTTCCAAAGAGAGAACTAAGGAACTCTGAGCGAAGATTGAAATAGAATTTTTTTTAAGTATAACTCTTTATTTTGGCTATTTTGTTTGTGTTTTCTTTCGCAACGTGACTATATGGAAATATATGTTGCATGATCTCACATGTATAATCAAAATCAAACTGTTTGCCTTGTCAAGGAGGGGACTGGGACAGGAGGGAAAAAGAATCTGGAACTTTAAATTTTTTTAAAAATGACAGCTAAAACATTTTTACATGTAATTGGGAAATACCTAAAGAAATTAATAAAAATAATTTTTAAAAGAAAGAAAAATAAGTCAAACCAAGTAGCCTACTGAGCCATGCAATAACTTTATCTCCAAAGAACCAGCACTGAGGGTCACCCAGAAGGCAATGGTGATGGGCATGTGGGGTGTGAGCAGGCTGCCACATAACCAATGGGGAGCTTTGAGGAACAAGGGATGAGCTGGTCACAGGAGGCCGCCAGAATCCTCCACTACTGGGCCCCTTGCACACCAGATGGGTTCTCCGTGACAAAGTCATGGTAAGATGCAGACAAGGGATGCACGGGATGTGCGGACACGAACAACAGAGACATCTCCAAAATAAGGAGGTCACCACTTACCTGGGTCCTTCTGCCCTTCCCGTAACCCGAGCCCCCGGCTCTTGCCCCTAACCCTGCCCTCAACTCTCACACTGGAAGCACCAGGCCCCGTTTCATGGTGAGGTCCTCAGACCACGACTCTGACCGCCACCTCTTCTCTTCCCGCTTCATGGCCATCACCTCACCCCGCGGACAGGCAGGCAGGAATTATCCACCCTCCTTCTTTTTCCTCTTTGGGTTGATTCTAAAGGGCCTTAATTTCCCCCCAAACACCATCTATCTACTGGGTGCCTTCAGTTTTCAAAGAGTCCAAAGAAGGTGTAGTGGCACCGCCTGCCAAGAGCGCAGGAAAGAGGCCCAAAGGTCCCAGTGGTTTATAACATGGGAAGGACTGTGAGGAAAGGCGGTAAACCATGCCGCACATCCTCTCACATCACTGACCTTGCAGACCAGCTTTCTCCAGCATCTTCTTCAAACACTAAGGAGAAAAAAGCACAGAGAAGTGATGCTTCAGGTTAGTGGGATCCTCAGAAGACAGGCGAGCCTCGTCAGCAGGCCCGTCTTTCTGAAGGGGCAAAGCCCACGCCCACGACGCCCAGGACGCCCAGGCAGCCACCCCTCAACCTTGGCCAGGCCTCTGGCACAGGTGCCTCCCCACTGGGAAGGCCAGGGCACCCCCCACCAACTCGGGGCACAGAGGACCTGGGCTCTCCTCGGGGCAGGTTGCTGTCACTTACTTCGCTCACAGAGATCGTCGACTCCACGATGATCTCCATCGTCAGGCTGGACTCGAAGTCACTGCCCACGATGAAAAACAGGAAGAGCTGGGAAAGGCCAACAAGGTCAGGTGAGGGGGACCTTGGCACGTCCCTCTTTCCAGAAGCAATCAGTTTACAACATGCCCCCACCTGGCCTCTTAGAAAAGTGGACTGGTGGTGACAGTCCTGCCCCACCTCTCACCTCTCACGGACCCCAGGGGGTGGCGCCTCCTGGCAATCCCCCAGTGAGGCTGAGCCCTAAGGATGCGTGTGACCCTTGGGAGCCTGGAGTAGGTGGAGTACGAGGACGCTAACAGGCCCCTGCTCAAGCTGAGAAAAATGGAGCTCAGACAGGTGCAGCAGAACCAAAGGGCTGCTGCGAGCTTGGACCGCTCACAGACCTCAGGAGAGACCAAGGGCAGGGTGGACACGCTCCCAAAAGGTCTGCAGGCTGGCCACAGAAGTGCCTCCCCAAATCCCCCACCCATACACACTGCACACATATGTACATACACATGCACATGCACACACGCACACACACCACCCCTATACATGTGCACATGCACACATGTACACACATACCCCACAGTGTGTACATGCAGTACATGCACACACATGTGCCCACATGTGCACATACATGCACACACCACCCATACACACATGCGCACGCACATGCACACACATACCCCCACATACTGTGTACATGCAGTACATGCGTACACGCATGCACACATACACATGCACGTGCAGAAGCACCCACACACACATACTTGTACACATGCACCAGCACACATATACACACATACATGCAAGCACCCACACATACACATGCATGCATACACTTGCACATGCACACATGCACCACACTTGCATACATGCACATACATGCACACACAATACACATGCACACACCTACACTTGCGCACACATGCATAGTACACATGTGCACACATGCACGCACTCAGATACACACACACTTGACATGCGCATGCACCCCACACTTGCATGCATGTACATACAGATGTGCACATGCACACACACACACGTGTGCACGTGCATGTTCACACACACACACACACACACACACACACAACACCACAGGGTCGGGACCTCCGGGCGATGCCAGGTCATGGCTTCAGCACCCAGGCTATGTTACCTGGGAGGAGGTCGGAGCTTTGCCACGACACAGTCCCAGCAAACTGCCCATCTCCATCTCTGCTTCGGCCACAGTGTAATGTTCTGGCACTGTCAAGGACACCAACGGATCTGGTGAGCACTGTCGGCCTCGGGCCCTGCTCAGGAGCCCCGCCCAGCCTCGACAACACTAAGCTGACAAAGGGGAGGGCAGAGCTGGGGCAGAGCCGGAGGGTCCTCTGCCAAAAGAACAGTCTCAAGGACAAAAGGAAATGAAACACCCCAGGCTGCAGCATGAGAGGCTAAGGAAGGAGCTCTTTGGTGCCAGACACCAAACTCAGGCCTGGGCCTGCCTTCAGGAGGCTGACCCTCTCATCAGACTGGAAGGCACGGACATAGCCGCCTGATGGCCTAGGGCAGGAAGGAGGGCAATCGGGACAGTCCGAGGACTGGGGGACCACGCCTCCTGCATCCCACAAGGCCAAGGTGTGTCCGTGCAAGAAGGACTGGCCTGTTCAGCTTGGGCCCAGAGCCTCAGGAAGTAGCACAGCCTGCCCGTCTTCAGGAGGCGAAGAGGCAGGGGCAGGACGCATCTTGGTCCAGAATGACCTCCACGAGGGGGATTCCCATGAAGCTGGAGAAAAAGCAGCCATGGGCACAGAGCCGGAAAGGCTCAGAAGGTGTGGCACTTGAGCAGGGCCTGAGCGAAAGGAGTGACGGTGTGTGTATGCGTGTTTGCACATGTGTGTGCAGGGGTGCACTCAGCCTCTCACTCCAGGGAATGGCCTAGGGGAGGCCCAGAGGCAGGAGGGGGCCAGCTGGGTCAGAGGTCCACTTAACAGAGGGGGCAGCAGGGTTAGGCTCAGGCTCTAAATCCTAGGCTGGGGGAGCCTGGGCTTTCTTCCATCAAGACAGACTTTGGGCCAGGAGAGGTCAGTAAGACCAAGTAAGGCCAAGAGGAACACACACAAATGAGCCAGACGGCCCCTCAGGGCCCGGTTCTTCTGTGCAGCCTTCCCGAGGCCGGCCACTGCAATGACAGGGAAGCTTTTGGTGGACTGGCTCATGAATCTTAGCGTCACTTCGCGCAGACCTCTCTGGAAGTCAAACGAGGCCAGCTTATGCAGGGACTCTTCCCTCGCCCCCACAGGGGGTCTCTGAGGAAAACACTCACATCCATGAAGAAAGGACTGAGCACAAAGGAGATGGGACCCCAGGGCAGCCAGCCTGTCCCCTGGGCCCTGAGGACACCAGGGAGGACCACGGCAGTAAAGCTCGGAAATCAAGTGAGCCCAGCGGACAGTGTGCTGGATCTGAATCCAGTAAGAAGTGGGTTCACATCTTACTTCAGAAACTTCCCAGCTGAGGTCCCTTCTCATCTATAAAAGGGGCTGGACTTCACAGCCTGTGGAGCGGCCCAGAAGTTACCAAAGACACAGCCAAACCACCCGCCACCCTCACATCCGGGTCACCAAGGCAGCCTCCTGCCACCCTCCACGAGGGCAGCCACAGGACCAGGCCATGGCAAGGAGACCCCACCTACCTGGAGAAAGCAGCTGCCCATTTCGATCGATCAGCCTCAGGCAGCTGTTATTAACTGGAAGCAAAGAGAGCACAAAAAGGCAGGTCAGAGTGCGAGAGTCAGAGAATCCCCAACCTTGCCCCCACACTCCGGCCCCCTACGCTGCCTGGGCCCCCCAGGTCCTCCAGGAGAGCTCCCTGCCATTCACCGTTCTGAGCACTGCCCTTTCCCACACCCCTGGGGATTCCAATCACTTATTTAAAGCTTGCGTCACCCCCCCAAGACACTAGCTGGTTTTACTTTCATCTGTGCATCTGCCAAAGCCCTGCCTCCTTCCTGAAACACGCACTTGGCTTCACCTGAAAATGCACCTACCCAGTTCCTCCTGCAACCCCAGCTCCTTGACAGCTTTGATTCGAATGTCCAACAGCATCTGAAATAGAAAAGCATGCCAAGGACATGTTGGGCATGACCTGGCACCCTTGGTACCTAAAAAACATGCAAATGATTGGGCATAACTTGGCACTCCAGTACCCAAAAGACACATGAATGATTGGGTATAACCTGGCACCCCTGGTACCTAAAAGACACACAAATGACCATCCCTAACTAAGCATCCTGGACCACACAGGGTGGCCAGGAGGCAAGAAGCCAAGGAAGGGAGCAGAGGTGCACATGGAGGGAGCGCCTGGTCATGGCTCTCAGCCCATTTTTAAAGAGTTTTATATTCCTGGCTACTACAAAAGTTATCCCATCCCAAAGAGCTCTTTCTTTGAAATCTGGGCTTCTACACATCCAATACTCCACCCCATAGGCCACTAAGAAACTCCCTTTAAACAAGGACAATGGAATTAACGTTGACCCAAAAGGCAAAAAATGAATAAAAAATGTTCAAAGTTTTTATGATTACAAACGAAAAGAAACAGACTTGTAAACTGGGGAGTTTGTAAAACTGATTTTTAGGTAGAGAGAGAGAGACAGAAGACTCACATCAACTCAAGAGAATCTTCCAATCTTAGAGCCCAGAGGCCAAAGAAGCCAACTCACCCATGCTCCCTTCCCCACCCAACCACAGACTAGGCACAAGGGCTGGAAGATGGGGAAACTGAGGCTCGGGGAAGTTGGCTTAGAATCCAGCTGTGCCCTTCACTCCCGGCAGCCTCCACAGAGGGTCCTGCCATGGAGCTCTCTCCCGGACAGCCCGCCCACTGCATGGAAGGGACTGTGAGGGAAACAAGTCCTAAGAAAGTGGGGCCTAGCTGTTCGACACAAATCCTGAACAAATCAAAGGTTTTCCAGGAAACATGTCATCCCAGAGGGACTGGTTTCACAAGGATTTGGGGAAACAAGTGTCAGAGAATTCACAGGAAAAGGAAACCCAAAACAATCCACTTCATGGAGCCTTACGAATGGACTGGCTTTCAACAGGTCCCAAAGTCTGAACTGGCTCTTCCCCATAAACCCAAGAAGTCATGAGACACTGGACGATTCAAGAAGCACAAACGACTTCCTGAAATTCACAACTTCAGTTTCTTTAAACCAGATGAATGAAGAAACACCCTAAGTGACCAGGGAACTCCAAAACTCTGGACTTTAGGGAAAGTTTTAGGAAAACTAGGGAATGAACATTTTCTGGAGAATTCTAAGAACGGGTAAAGGAGATTTTCGAATGGGAGAGACTTTTGCAAACAATCCCACTTCCGTGACTTTGCCAGACCACTAAGCACCTCTGGCTTGCCAAATTCAGCCAGAGAGGCAGCGCAGGGGGCCGGGGCTGATGCCAAGGACGGGGTTTCCTACCCCCACCTCCCCTCCCCTCTCACTCTTCTCACCCCCCTCCTCCCAGCCATCCCCTGGGCAGCCCCAGACCCGGCACTCTCCCTACTGTCGCTCACGCTCTGGCCCCACTCTTCTTTACTCACTGTTTCAGTAGTCGCCGAAACTTTCACGTGCTCCTCCTCGGAATCTGCTTGACACAGATTCTTAACGTGCATCCAGTTGAAGTTGCTCAGAGGGCTCGCCCATCTGCTTCCGGTCAGCATCAAGCTGCAAGCAAGGGACAGATTCACAAAGTGACACTCTCACGTTCCCTGTACCCCGGGGGTGACCAACGTTTCTCAAACTCCACACAGGTCACTTTAAACGAGCCCTCACAAAACGAGCCCTCCACATTCCCGGAGGCACTGCTTCAGCCAAAAGAAGACAAGGCCGCTCGTCCTTAAAAGGGAAACAGGCTCCCCTACCGAGTGCGTGTCCGGGCTTCCGTGACCCAGTGGCTCTGCGGCCACCTCCCCTCTGGGCATCACGATGACGCACACAGCCTCTGTGAGAGGGGATGGCCGAGTGCCCTGTAAAATGGCGTCTCCTCCTGCCTTTCCGTCCAGCACGAAGCAACCCAGAATCCTGCTCAAGAGAACTCCTCGAAGCCGCTGACCACCACCCCCACGCTTCCGTCCCCCTCCAGCAAGAGCCCTGCAGCGTCCTCCCCTTCAGAGTCAAACTCTAGGAAGGGCCTTTCCCTCCTTCCTCAATCTCACCTCACACTGCTCTGCGAGGTGGCCGAGGGTCTCTTCTCAGCCATCATCCCTCTCACCACCCCCTCGGTCCCCAGCGTCTGAGGCTGCTGACCACCCCACTCAGGGAGGCTTTCCTGAAACGGCTTTCTGCTGGCTCTCCTGCTTCGGCATCAGCTCATCAGCCACACCCAACCCCAAGCGGGGGGGTGTCCCCCTACGCTCTGTTCCGGGCCCTCTCAGCTCATCTCCTTAGCTCCCAAGGCCGTGCCAACGAGCACTATGGAGGCGACACTCAGCCAGGCGTGTGAAGGCCCAGGCTCTCCCTGATCTGAAGTCCTACAACACCAACCGTCCTATGGAGCCCCGCAAACCAACCCTGAGTCAGCACATCCAAAGGACAAGTCCTTATCTCTCCCAAACACCGGCCGGCTCCTCTTCCAACGTCCCTGCCGCTGCAGCAACTCCATCAATTCTGTCACCCAGACAGGATGCCACCTCAGGTCTTCTGACACCTCCTTCAGCTCTCTCACCCTCTAAATTCCATCCGCTGCCAACTTTTTGTGAGTTCAACCGCCATCTTCTCTGTCACACAGCCGCCACTCTCTCCTCAATGCCCCCCGGGAGCATCCCAGCAGCCTTAGCGCCCCGTTCTGCGCAGCTGCTGAGCAGACACTCTTCCAGTCTCACCTGGCATTCCCCAAGCCAAGAAGACCCTTCCCCAGCTCCCAAAGCCCTTTCCAGTCCGGTTCCCACTGCCCTGAACCTGTTCCTACACGCTGTGGTTTAGACAAACCAGCCTCTGCTGCCCCCTCCTCCATGCCAGGAATGCTCTCCCTGCTCACCTCTGACCCTCAGGAACGCCATCTTCCCTCCAGGTTCAGCTCAAGTTCCACCTTCCACAGGAAGTCTGTCCTGATCCTCCCACATGTGAGCGTCCCCTTCACGCCTCTGGAAACTGCTCCGTCCTTACACACCTGGCCTAACGCTGGGGGAGTCACCAGCTGAATGAGCCACCCCACCAGTCAGCCGCAGCATCCTCCTGTTACCTGGTTTCACTGGCTGTGAGAATTTCAATACTGGGAACTTCCAAGTCAGATGATCAGAGGGATGGAGGGACAGGATAGGTCTCTGTCAACTTTCAAAAACTCCCCAAAAGAATGACGCGCTTGTCTCCACGGGCCAACATGCCAAGAACCTTAACAGGAACTCAGCAGCAGACCATGCAGACCTAAAACCCGTCCAGCCGTCTGTAGGAGGAAGGGGGAAGTACAGGAAGGTGGGTCCACACTGCGCCTGAGGCAGCTCTGCTCAGTCAGAAAACTGCAGAATGAGGGAAATGAGACAGGGGTCGCACGAGCCTGTGGAACTCCATTTCCAGGCCTGAAGGAAAGGGGACTGGCAGCCAGATGGGGTCAGGTCAGTCGTCCTCCACAGACTGAGGTCCATGAAAAGTGAATCCTCCATGAGGAAAGAGGCTGGCGTAGCTTTGAGGCCTAGTCCCTAAGAGCCACCATCAAAAGGAAAAGTCAGAAAGTAGGCAACCGCTAATGAATGAAGAAGGAAGAAAACTCATTTAAAAAGCCAGAGCACAAGCAGATAAGTCAACAGTAAAGGGGAGGTGGCCACCAAGGCACCCCAACCATTGCAAATGTCCTTTAATCACTGAGACCCAGCCCTTGGTGGCACAGAGGATAGTGAGGATCCCAAAGGAATATCAAACCATAATCAGGTGCTTCCAGACAGCTTGAGAGAAAAATCTGAATCTTCAAAGCCATTCCAAGGGAACAAATTGGCAGAACTTCTGTGCTCCAAGGCAGAAATCCTGAACCAGGGGTGGTGAGTCTCTTCGAAGACACGAGCGAGCGAGCAAATGGGAAATGCGGCTCCACAGAAGGGGAGGACCCTCTAGAGGGCTCCAGTCTCCCTGCATGAGACAGATGCTAGAGTGGGGTGCAGGGGGACGACGGGCTCGAGAAGGCCCCCAAGGAAACATCCCTGACTTCTGAACACCAAAAACAAAGGAATACATAGGTGGCCTCCAGGAAAAAACCCTATGCTGCAACGCTAAGACACAGGGCGGGGGGCGGGGGGGAATGTAATAATTCCAATAGCAAACGATAACTTCTACAGGGGGTCAGGAAGAGGCCTTCCAAATGGAACAAAGAGAGAATCTCGTAACACAAAACTCCTTTGCACTCACCAAAGGCTACCACATTGAACAGAACACATTCACCAAAGTAAAGGGGCTCAAGTCACAAGCCAAAGTGACATGCCCTGCCCACCTGCACTTCATCATCAGTGCTAAAGAGACAGACTCACCAGAAGCACTCCTACATAAAAAACCCAAGCGGGAGCAGACTGCTACATCTGCACTCACCTACGCAACAGAAACACAAAAAAGGTAAGTAAATACAACCAAGAAAACACAAGTGAGGAAATAATTTAACCCATTTTTATTAAAAGGAAAAGGGGAAAATATAGAATTGAACAAATTCTTGAAGAAACTAGAGCTAAAAGACTTAGGGCATCTTCTAAATGAGACTGAAGAATATGTGCGCTTCTCTGCATCACATGGAACTTTTACAAAAATTAACCACTTCTTAGAGCACAGAAATCTGGCAAACAATGGGAAAAAAAGCAGATAGAGTAGACATATCTTTTACAGACCATCACATAATAAAAAGTGCATGTGGTTCAGGGAGTACAAACAAAAGACAGAGATCTGAATGGAGACTTAACAATGAAATCCTAAATAACAAGTGGGTCAAAGAAGAAATCACAGAAATAATTAGTAATTATGTAAAAGACAATAATGATGATGAAAGCACATAACAAAATTTCTAGGATGTAGCTAAAGGAGTCTGGGGTGAGGGTGGGGTGAATAATATCCCTAAAAACATACATTAACAAAATAAAAAAACTTTTAGTCAACCCAATTAAAAACAAGGATAGAAAAATCAAATCAATAAAATAGCAAATGATTAAGCTAAAATCGTAACTAAACCTAAAGAAAAATAGAACTATCAGAACCCACTAACTACAATTATACACTACCAGAACTGAGAACACCAAAGAAATAGAGAAATACATTAAAAAAAAAATACCCAATCCAACAGAAAACCAAACAGAGATCCTAAATAATCCAATTTCACTAAGGAAATACAACTTTAGCTCCAACGAACTACCAAAGGAAAAATTTCCTAGTATTGATGAACGCGCAGGAAAATTAATACCAATTATAGACAGAAAAAAATGAGAAAGTGCTCTACCCAACTTCTCTTTAATCATATATAGAGCTAATGCCTAAACCACAAGAAAATAAAGCAAAGCTAGAAGGGAGAACTACAGACCAGAATCAGGAACAAATGAGTACTCAAAAATTTTAAATAAAATCCCATTAAACAGACTACATAAACTTGTTGAAGAAATTGATCAGCAAGACCAAGTGGACTTTAGACCCAGGACACAGGGACAGCACATTAGAAAAACAATCAGCAAAATTAATTTCATTAAAACCGAGACATGCCAAACGTCAAGATCACCTCAAGAGTTTCAGAAAAAGCTTAGGACAAAGCACAACACTCATTTTTTGCTAAAAAACAAACAGATAAACCTCAAAGTACACACCTAAAGAACTTTTTTTTTTTAATGTAAAGAATATCTATGTAAAACTAAAGCTTCACATATGCGATGGGGAACCACAAAGAAGCTTTCCAGTGAATACAGCAGCAGGACAAGGATGTCCACTCTCCCTGCCATTATTTGACATATAACTCTAGAGAAAAGAATTAAAGGTGTAAAGATCGGCAAAAAATAGACAAAACTATCCCTATACACTAATAACCTGATGCTTTATTTAGAAAATCCTAGGGAATCAGCAGAGTTACTGAGACAATGGGTTCTGCAAAGTTATAGGTTAAAAAAAAAACCCCACAAAAATCAACAGCATTCCAAGAGGCAATAAAGGGAAATCCCATTCAAAACAATTTCAAAATGTATAAAGTATTTGGGAATCATTTTGCCAAAATACATTCAATACTAGTTTCAATTATAAGGTGTTCCTTAAGGAAATAAAGAATAATTTAAATTGCTAGAGGAATATTCAATGTGCATGCCTGGGCCATTCCAATATAATGAAAATGAAAACTACCAAAGTTAATTTATATTTTTAACACTATGATAATCAAACTACCAAAGGGATACTTTACAGAACTCAATAAAATAGTAACAAAATTCACTTGGAAAAACAAACGATCTAGATTATCAAGGGAAATTATGAAAAGTGGGAAGGATAAAGGGAGGGATGAAGGGGAATAGCACTTCCAGATGTCAAACCAGATTATAAAGCAGCAGCCGTTTGGCTAAAAAATAGAGAAACAAATAAACGGAGCAAACGAGATAATGCCCAGAGATGGAGGGTCTTGTTTGTGAAACAACCAGGAGGCCAGTGTTAGTAGACTGAAGAGGATGTGGGGGAGAATAGAGTAAAGTGTCAGAAGACTGGAAAGGAAGGAGGAAGATGGGTGATGAAGGGCTTTGAAGGCCAAACAGAGCATTTTGTATTTGATCCTGGAGAAAATAGAGGAGTTGTTGGAGTTTACTAAGTAGGGGGGTTGGACTTGCACTTTAGGAAAATCACTTTGGTGGCTGAATGAAGGACGGATTGGAGTGGAAAGAGCCATGAGGCAGGCACTCTGAGCAACCACGCCACCCCCATCCCTATCCCCTGCCCAGCAGCTATTGCAATAGTCCTGGTGTGAGGAGATAAAGGCCTGCACCCAGGTAGGGGCAGTGTCAAAGGACAGAAAGGAGTGGTGTGTTCCAGAGATGCTGCAGAAGTGAAATTGATAAGAGATGCTGCAGAGGTGAAACTGACAAGAAATGCTGCAGAGGTGAAACTGACAAGAGATGCTACAGAGGTGAAATGGACCAGAGGTGCTCCAGAGGTGAAATGGACCAGAGATGATGCACAGATGAAACTGACAAGAGATGCTGCAGAGGTGAAATCGACAAGAGACGTTGCAAGAGGTCAAATCTACAGGCCTTGGCACCATATTGGATACGGGGAGTGAGAGAGAGTGAAGAGTCCAGGATGACTCCTAAGTTGAGAGCCTGAGGAACTAGGAGAATGGGGGTGCTCTCTGCAATAACAGGGAAGAGAAGAGGGGAGAGAGTTTAGGGGGAAAGATAATGAGTTCTGTTTTGGACATAACGAATTTAAGGTGCTTACTGGATATCTGGTTCAAGATGTCTGAAAGGCAATTGGAGATGCAAGACTGGAGCTCAGCAGAGATTCTGGGGCAGAAAGGGGAGATTTGAGAATCATCTGAATAGAGATGGTAATTAAATCTGTGAGAACTGATGAGATCCCCAAGTGAAGTAGCACAGAGGGAGAAGAGGCCCAGGACAGAACCCTGAAGGACACCTGTGGTTAGAGGGTGTGACCTGGAGGAGGATCCAGCAAAAGAGACTGAGAAGGAGAGGTCAGAGAGTAAGGAGAACAAGGAGAGACTAGCGACCCAAAAACCTAGAGAGAAGAGAGTATCAAGGAGGACAGAGTGAGCCACAGTGTCCAAGGCTGCAGGGGGTCAAGTAGAATGAAGACTGAGAAAAGGCCATGGACTTGGCCACTAAGAGATTACTGGTCAATCTGGAGAGAGCAGCTTCAGTGCAATGATGAGGTCAGAAGTTTGACTGTAAGGGATTAAGAAGAGTGAAAGGAGAGAAAGTGGAGGTATGCGTAGGTGGTCTTTTCAGCCACTTGCTTCTGCCACAAAGGGCAGAAGAAATATAGGAAAATGTTAGCAGGGACAGAGGGGTCAAATGAGGGCTTTTTTCAGGATAGAGGAGACATGGGCATGTTTGTGGGCAGTAGGGAAGGAGCCAGTAGAGAAGGAGAAAGTGAAAATAAGTGCAGGAGTGGGGATGACAGAGAGGGGTACAAGGTGCAACAGGGTCACCTTAGCAGGTAGAGGGATTAACCTGGGTAAAGAGTGAGGTCACCTCATCACGTGAGACAAGGCTGAAGGAGGGGCAGAAGGAACCTGAGTGATAAATGAGGAAGGGAAGAAGTGGGGAGTTCATGACGAATGGCCTCAGTTTTTCTGTAAAATATAAGACAAGGTTCTCGACAGAAAGAGGAAACAGGGAGGAGAATTGAGGAGGGATGAGAGGGTTTGGGACAGCTGCAGACATCTGTACTGACAAAGGATGGAAAGAACCCATTTTGCAGAGCCTGATGTCAGAAAACTTAAGTAACATTCAGGGAAAAGCGTGCCCCTTGTTTTATGGGAGACCTAGAAGTCGAGAATTCCATGACAGACCCAGACGGAGAGGGGACAGCTAGGTGGCGCGTGGGCAGTGGACAGAGCACCGGCCCTGAAGTCAGGAGGACCTGAGTTCAGATCCGGCCTCAGACCAAATACTTGATACTTACTAGCTGTGTGACCCTGGGCAAGTCACTTAACCCAAATTGCCTTAAAAAAAAAATAAAAAAGAACGGGGAGGGAAGGGAAGGGATATTGACCAGGCTGGGACCAGAATGAGCCACAAGGCAACAGGCCCTGAGGGACCTGGCCAGCAAGCACTGCTGTCCCAGGAGACATAATACCTGCCTCACCCAGTTTTCCACTCATTCTACTGAGTGACTGGTTTCTATGGAAACACATCTCCAATTTGTAACAGAAAAAAAGATCCATCATTATAGAAACCTGCTTTTCAGTCCACTCTGTGCTAACACTGTGTCCTTCACTCAATGTGCCACGTGCCTCAGAGCCACTCAGATCTACCTACTGTCTCAAAGACTAAGCATGGGCATTCACAAGAGGGTGTGCAGACGGAAGGCCTGGTGATCAAACCCACTTTAAACAGCATGAGCAGAGCTCACCTGTTCCCTCGGTCAGTTACCTTTGGTCATAGCTGCTGGAGCTTAATATCCACACGCAGCTGCCGTCTTGAAGGCCTTGCTCTCTGAATGTCTTTCCAAAGTTCTCCCTGGGAATGACTGTCCAGTTCTCTAACTCGAGAATGCGAGAGCCTGTAATGTTCACCAGGAGGATGCCAACAGGGGATGCTAAGGCCGTGAATATGGAGCCAACTTCAGCATTTGAGGGAAACACATGGTGGAGTTCTTCAAATGGCTGCCCGTTTTCTCCATCACTGCTATTTGTCAGCTGAAGGATATTCAAAAGGATGGGAAGAGCGTCCTCACCGACTGGAATCTTGACCCCACCAACCTGGGAAACAAAGTCAAGATGAAGGAGAGTCAGACCCTAACTGGCCAAAACAAAGTCTAATACAGTGAAAGTTTATGAGTGGCAATGAAAATGTTATTCTGTTGTGCCTGGGATAACAAGTCAACAGATCAAGGCTTAAAAATCTCCTGCCACTTCTTTCCTGTTCATCCTCATCTGACCCCTCTGTGAAGATGGAGGCAATGAGTGCCCTCCTCCTCGCTCTCCATGCAGCCAATCTCTCCCTTCAGTTCATCCTGGACGCCCCTGGCGATTGCTTACTCTTCCTGAAATTCCACCTTGCTCTCACACCCCCGTCCCTACCCGGAAGCTTTCAGAGCCTGCCCTCTTTGCTGCCAGACTGAGCCCAAACTCATCAACCTACAACTTAAGGCTCTTCTCAACTGGCCTTTCCAACGTTCCTTTGGTTAGGTCCCAATACCAAACGGGCCCCTCTAGTGGAACAGCCTCCTGAGCCTTTCCCTCTGTCAGCCTCTGGTCAGGCTCTGGCCCCAGCCTGAACGCATTCAATTCCTTCCTACTTAAACCCATCCCACGTGTGAGGCCCCAGGTCCAATCACACCTCTTTTACGAAGGCTTACCCTAAATGGCTAATTACACCCACTTATTGCCTGTACAGTCACTCGGCATGCAATTGTCTACTGCGGTGTTGTGACTTACGTGCCTCCATGTGTCTTATCTCCCCAGTGAGGTGTTAAGCTCCTTCAAGGCATGTAAGGCTGTGTCTTATACTTCTCTGGGAGCCCTCACAAACCCTAATACAGCGCTAGGAACAAAGCAGGTGCTCCAGAAAGCCCTGATGAATGAATTGGCATTTCAAGCTCAACAAATGAAAAGCCGTCATCACAAAACAGTATTTTTCAGTCAAATCATTTTCAAATCGCAGCTCGGAAAGACTAACTAGAAGTCGGGCACTCCATGCCAGGAGAGGGCGGCAGTGCGGCCAAGACTCCTCCAACCTTTTCCCAGTTTCCTAACTTCTAACTCTTCCTGCATGATCAGAACATTCTTTACACCGGCAGCAGGTTATCTTATTGCAATGACATTAAGGTTTAAAGTTACAATAAAGATTTCCTGAAGTAGGTTTTACCTCCATCCCATTCCACACAAAGATGTCTTCCCCATCGGTCATTTCAATTTCATGCAATGTCAGTCCATCTCCTACAAAGATGGGATCACCAGTGAAACCACTTGTCGCCCGCCTCCTCTCAGCACCCAGCCCTTTTCAGAGCATTGGTAACACAAGGGGCACTTGGGAGAGACAAAGGCAATGGATAAGCTTATTTACTTCTCAGCCAGCCGACCGACAACCGGGGTTTAAACCCTGCCTCTGTCTCGGAAAGATGCTGGCTGCCAAGGCTTCCCCCCGCGGCGGGAGGTGTCCAAGAAGTCGAGGGCTGAGATCCCCCAGGACACACTTCTAGCAGAGAAGAAGGGCGCCCGTCCCGAATGGGCACGGCAGCACTGGGGAGCTGGACAGGTCAGTTACACCCACGCTCCTTCTATCTTAGAATCGCTGGAAATGCCATTAAGGGGATTGACTGCTGGATTCCACAGTGAGCAGGGCTTGAGGAGAGTGCAGACAGATGGAAAACAAAGAGTAAAGATGACAGGCAGCATGAAGCTTTGACACAACGTGGGGCTCCCATCCCAGCTCCCCAGCTTGTGGGCAGCCCCTCTGCACACTGAGGGCCAGGGGCAGGGAGGGAAGGGTCCAGAGCACCTCTGTCCAAGGTGCAGCAGGTAGAAGGAAGCACACACGGGAACTCTACATCTTGCTCTCAGCTCTGCCGTGAGCTGAGGGCCACGGTGGGCCAGAAATGAGGGCGCTGGGCAAGCTCTCTCAGCACCTGGACCGAAAAGGCGCCGCCCACATGACCAATGCAAAGTATTGCTCGTGCAAGATGGCAGGAATTAAGCCTGTCTCCTCACTCGGGCAAAGACTCAACGTCCATTTTCCTAACACCCCCCCCGCCGTCCCCAGCAAGGTGGAAGGGAGATCTCACATCTCAGAGAGCACGTTAAGGCAGAGCCTTTCAGATCCCATAAGCCCTTTCTGGGCTCGGCCTGCCTCCAGCCCCCCGCAGCAGGCTCCATCTAAGGGGTGGGGATAGACAGGGAGGCTGGACAGCCAACTCAAGTCCTGGGGGTGCCGAGGACAAGGGGCCTACCTTCGAGGGCTTGGCAAACATGGAGTCCCGCAGGCACGAGCTTGGCAAGGCTGAGCACCAGATCCCCTTCCCAGAATTCCAGGAGCTGGAGATGAAGGAAGAGAGAGCTGCACAAAGTCAGAGACCAGAAACAACTCCAGGCTGACCTGGAGGAGCCCCCCTCGCAGAGTCCTGAGATGGTGGGGGAACCCACCACCTGCTCGGACACTGTCTGAAGGTCTGCTTCGGTAAGCCCCTGGAAATCCTCGGGAAGGCGGAGTCTAGCCTTAGGTGCCTGGCTCCCATGCAGGCACGGTGCCCAGACTCATGGAGCCCTTCCCATTCTCCCAACCAAGGCTAGCCCACGACAAAATGGGCCCTGAGACCACCCAGAAGTGGAGGACAGTTTGCCAAGGAGCGCTGTGTTCAAAAGGTGACACCTCGGGGGTCATTCTTCAAAGGTGCTGGACGAGTACCTGATTGTCAAATGGCATCTGACCTGGAAAAATATTTTTTCCTTCTCCCTACAAATGACAGCAGCCTGGACACAGGGGAAAAGACACAGTCGCTGGGGCAGATGCCTTGGGCTTAAACCTCTGGCTCTACCCTTGCTCCCCATGTGACTGTGGGCAAGTCACTGCTCATCTCTGGGACTCAGTCTCCTCACCTGTAAACTGAAGGGGTTGGAACCGATAAAATTCTGGCACTATTACTAAACACAATGACAGATGGTCCAGACCCATGACTCTACTGGCCTGGCTATTTCCCAGTGAGGAAACCCACTCAACCAATGCAGATCAGCTCTTTCTCTGCTATACGCAATCCCTAAGGGTTCCCTGAGCCTCGAAGGGTTCATGGAGCTGTCAGCTGGCTCACTCAAACATGTCAGGGGTAAGATGTGAGCCCAGGCTTCCTGCCTCCAAGGCTGTCCCTCGATGGACACGTTGACTAAAGAAACAATTAAAGCAAAGGCCAATGAAAGCTGTCTTGAGTCTAACACCTCCGCTGAATCACCACCCGCTTCTAGCAATGTCATCCTCACCAATGAAATAGCCTTAAGGAATAACATGGCACCAGGCTGATCTTCACCTCGGTTAATAAACCGCCCACCGGGAATGTTCCAGCCCCCTAAGGCCAGGCCAGGAGGCACAGCTGGGCCCGGAAAGGGGAGCCAGGCTGGGGCTCAGGGAGGGCTGAGAGGCTCTGGCACATCCACTTCCACTCTCCCCAGACAGGCCACGGCCCTCCCCGGGCCCCAGGCTGAAACAGGAGAAGCAGTCATCAGCATCTGAGCTCGACTTGCAAGCAGGCTCAAGTCCACGCGAATGTACGTTACCTGAAATACCGACTGCCGAAGATCACCTACAGTTTTCCGTTTATCAATGGTCAAGTCCAACATGCAATCTTCTGTTACGGAAGAAGAAGGGTGCAGGGCGCCATCATAAAATTCATAGCAAGGGCCCAGGTGGAGATGCAGGTCGAGGGTGTTGACCACTGAGTCATAGTCTGTCCTGGAAAGCATCACAGCCAGAGAAGGAATCAGTCCTCGAAGACCTTCCACGTCACTCGAACACCAGGAGTCCCTTCCCCCAAAGCTCGAGAACCACGTGCCTCATTGGCTACCACAACCTTCAGGGAACGCCCCGCGAAGGCCCCTCCTCAAGGACCAGCAGCCTGGAGCTGAGCAGAACCCAGCCGGCCAGGAGGCCCACGGCCTGCCCCAGCCTTGGGCAGACTTACCTCCTCTTCTGCAGCTCCCTGTTGGCCTCATGCACCTCCCTCAGCAGGTGACCTGGAACCTTGTACTGTGGGTTGGACTGAGCTGTGAACAAAAGCCCTCGTTAATCTGAGGTCAGCCAAAGGAGAGCAGATTCAGGATGGTGGTCCCAGCCCACGCCCCAAGGGCCACTTCCCAGAGCCGGACCTGCGTCTTTGGGGATCACCCTAATCACTCTGCTCCTCAGGCACAAGGCCTCAATGGGCCGGTCTGTGGGGCCATCTTGAATCACAGGCCAGGTTGCGCGGTGGCCACATCTGGCTCCCTCCCAAGGCTCCACCCGCCCCGTGGCTCCACTATGCCCCTCGGGTACCTGAGGCATGCCCCCGGAGTCTTCCTCTGCGATGGCCCATCACTCAGCAGGGATCGATAGCCCCTCCCACAGGCACCCTCCATCCAGCCAGGCACACAAGTACCATTCCCTATGAACCCAGTTCTCAGTCTATCCCTTCACTAATCAACTGATACATATGTACTCCGTGCCCAACACTCTGCTAGGCAGAGGGGACAAAAAGAAAAAAACAGCCCCTGCCTTCAGGAAGCTTACATTCTACAGGGGAGACGACACAAATGCTTAAAATATAATTACCTACTTCAAACCAGAGGTTCCCTTAGGAGGGTTGACAAGCTAAAACCAGATAGCAAAGACCTCTGGAAGCCTCGAATGTTAGTTCTGTGCTGTGTCTCTCTCCTTGAGAGAGAATGGTGGAACACCACGCTACCCCACTGGCTCACCGGTGGGCAAATCCCTACTTTAATTCAAGAGGGGAGGAGGGAGAAAGAAAGACAGGCCAGGGATGCCTGAAAATTCAGATTCCTGCGACAAAGTTGGGCCATGCCTACAGAGGCCCGTCATGCTTAGCACTCACAGGTTCCTCAAATAAAAACCACTCACTGACCAGACCATACACGCCCAGCATCCTAACGGGAAAGGAGCGGACAGAGCCTGTCTCCATTAGCCCACAGAACGGAAATGCGGAGATCTGCCTTTGGTTTGGTCCTGACCTGTGACCTCATCTAACAAATTCTGGCACTGAACTCCCCCTCCCCTAATACAGGCTAACAACTCCCATATGGCCCGTAGTCTTAATGAGAGGCACTGGGGAAAGACTGTAGCCAACGTTGGCCTCAAAGCCAGAACATGAGGGGTCAGGCCCCACCTCTGCCCCAGGCCATCCACATGCTCCCAGAGCTGTCATTCACTCTCCCAGGAACCCCAGCAGCTCCCTCAGCTGCAAAAGACAGCCCAGGAATAATGACAGTCACAGGTGCACCTACCAGGTGCCAGGCCCTGTGCCACTACGTGCTTTACAGTTCTTACAGCTGATCCTCACAACCACGCTGGGAGGGAAGTGCGATGGGGATCCCCGCTTTACAGAAGAGGAAACTAAGGCAGATAGAGGTTTAGTGACTTGCCCAAAGTCTCCCAGCTAGTCAGTGTGTGAGGCCAGATTTGAACTCAAGTCTTCCTGAGCCCAGGCCCAGCACACTGGGCTCTCTGACACCTCGCCGCAATGGCAGGCAGATTCTCACCGGGGACTTGTCTGACCAGCTGAAGAACTGGCCTGGCGTAGCCACTCTGACATGATTGCACTCCAATCTGTGGGGACTGACCTAGACGCCAGCAGAGACCGTGCCCTGGGTCTCCTGCAGCACCTGGCCCACAGCAGGGAGCTGAGAACCTCTCACCCTCTGGGCCTCCTGCAAGGTCTTCTTCAAAGACCAAAGCTTGGTCTTTCCTGCTCTGGACAGAAGCTGAGAGCAAGAAGCCCGTGCCCCGTACCTTCTGGAGGCCTCTGCAGCTGCATCTTTCGGTAAAACAACATGTAGGCACTCTCTTTTCCCTGGAATTGCTTCTCAATGTCCGCTTCCCGGATGGGTTCCACTTGAGAATCATTTATGTCAAACCAATGAGGGCCTTCAGCGCTGACCTCCGGCCACAGATCCCCAGCAGGCTCTGCTCCAGAAGCCACGAGGCCCTCGCCGTGAGAAGGGGCATCAGGGCCAGGCTGTTTATGCTCAGTCAAGGGCAGCTGTGGAGGGCTGACATCCCTCCTTAGACAGACCTTGCTGGGATTGGAGCTGAGGAGAAACACATCAGAATGGGCGTGCAAAAACTGAAAGGGAAGAAAGAAATAAGGACACCAATTAGCCATGACCTTGGATGATGACCTCACATGGCCACCGGAGGAGTCAGGGACCCCAGAGAGGACCAGACCCAGAGATGGTGCTGGGAGGGCCTGGATGGACCAGGAAGCTGGCAAGGAAGGGCCCCGAGATGTTCAGCCTCATTTTACACACGAGGAGACAGAGTCCGGCAAGGAGGCAGATTCAGACCCCTCCTCCAGACTCTGGGCTGGGGGCCACGTGGCCATCATGCTCTCTTCGGGGCCCTCTGCTCTACCCACTTTAGGGTATTTTAATCAGGTCCATTTTCTCCATCCGCCAAGAGGACAATGTTAGAGACAGTCAGAGTGGGGTCCTGAGCAAGAGGGTGCCCACAAGCCCTCTGGGAATGCAGGAGAGGAAGAAGAAAAGACCATGTGCCCAGAGTGCTGCACTCGGGTCAAACGCGAACCAGAATCTGCCCCAGGGCCCCCTCACAGCCGCAACGGGAAGGGGGAATGCCCTCCACCCCCACCCCCAAGAGCCTGCTGGAGCAAGACAACAGCCCCTGGCCTCGCTTGTGCCCCAAAGTGACTCAAACATGTGGGAGTAGGAGCCATTCGCCAACACACAAACGGAAAAAGGGAACGCACAGGCACTTTGCAAAGGAGGAAATCCAAGCCATCCCCAACCGTAGGAAAGAACACAACAAAAAAATCAGAGGAATGCACACTGAAAGACCCTCTGAGGGGCGGCGGCCTTGGGCCTGCTGGGGAGGCTCGGAGGCTCGGAGGCTTGGAACAAAGAAGAGGCAGCGCTCCGGCGTCCCACGCTACACGTGGAGCACTGCTGAAAAAATGACCTCAGTCATACTGGCATCTCCAAAACGTCGAAGACAAGCCTGCTTCCCTCTGCCCATCTCTGGCCATTTTCGAGGCCCTGGCCAACTGGCCTGTCCTGCCCCCAGCCCAGCACTAGGCCCACTACCCGGTGCCCTCCCAACAGGGTGCACACCACTCTCACATTTCAAGTTTGTCCTCTCTAGCCCTGAGCACAAGGATCAAATCAAGCCCGACTGCTAGCATTTCTGGCAGGGAGGGTCCCACAACTACCCTACGGCCACAAGTCCCCTCCCTGACTCATGATGTCCCTACGTGCAGCCAGCAGGCTGGGGGAGCTGGAGGTCACGGCCCAGGCTGGGGGAGCTGGAGGTCACGGCCCAGACCGGTGGCAGCAGGAGTTAGCTGCCCTGAAGAGCAGCCCTAAAACCCAGCCGCAGGCCTCGCGGAGATCCTCTGGGGGCTGCTCGGCTCTCCCGAGGGAGGCTAACTGTCCCCTCCGGTCCATCCTCCACCTCGCGGTCTAGTGTTGTTCTTAAAATGCAGATCTGATCACATTACCTCCTCGGAACTCCCGTGGCTCCCTATTACCTCCAAGATCAAATACAAAATCCCATTTGGCTTTTAAAGCCCCCTCCTCCCTTTCCAGTCCTCTTTTGCTCTCCCACCTACTCTTCGAACCAGTGACTCTGGCCTCCTGGCTGTTTCCTGAACAAGACACGCTCCACCTCCAGACTCTGGGCATTTTCTTTGGCTGTGCTCCCTGCCTGGAACACTGTTCCTCCTCATCTCCACCTCCCGGCTGCCACCTTCCCCAGGAAGCCTTCCCTGATTTCCCCATATGACAAGTGCCTTTCCTGATTCTCTCCAGTGCATTCTTCCTATGTATGTCTGTACATAGAAGCTGGTGTATTGTCTCAGTCATTAGACTGTAAGCAATTTGAGGGCAAGGTTTGCCTCTCTTTGTATCCCACAGTGCCCAGCACATAGTAGGCACTTAACCAATGTTTACTGATTGGCTGACCTCCTACTAAGTGCACAGCTGGTGCTGATCTGCCTCAGCAGGGGGATGGTCTTAAGTGGTCTGGACAATTCACACTGATGACCATGCCAGGCCGGGACCTCAAGGGAGGCTGAATTTAAGATCGCAGAAGCTGATTCATCTTGTCTAATGGGCCAGAGAAAGTCGGAATCAGATGGAGCCAAAGCCACCCACACAGGCCCCGGAAGTCCTGGTCTGCTTGGTGAAAGTGAGCATTCCTTCCGGGACAGGAACGAAGGCCGGCTGTCCTGCTGGCGGAGGGAGGAGCCGGGCTCGGCCAGAGCGGCCCTCGCTCCGGTTCTGACGGTCAGGGCCGAGAGGACCAGAAGGGTCACCTGGGCGGGTGGGGCGATGGTTACCTTCAGCAGGGACCCATGCTGCTTCCGATACTTCTTGTTCCAGGATATTTCTATGCTGGCCAAGAGCTTCTGACCCAGCTGGTCCACAGGAATCAGCTTATTTTCCTCCTTCAGAAAGAGAGATTAAAACGCATGAGAACAAATGTGCACAAATGAAGCCCAGGAGCACAAGGGGGAAGACGCACGCTGAGAAGCGGGGAGGTGCCCACGTTCAATTCGCTCATCAACACTTGGTGCCCAAGCAACGAGCCAAGGGGCTCCTGCCCTCAAGGAGGCTACATCCCAGGACCGTGACCAAAGCTCAACCACCTGCCAACCACCTGCCTTCCCCTCGCAGTTCAAAGGCTCCAGGAGAAAGCCGGGTCGTGGGGCCGAGCTGACCACACGCTCTGTGACTGGGGGATCGTGTGAGCATCCTCACTGTGCCCCACCCTAAGTTGACAAGGCTGACAGAACTGGGCCCCGAGAGGACGTGACCACCGGGCCCTTGACTCAATGTGTCCCTAATGGCTCCGTCTCCACGACCCGGTTTCTGGGGAAAGCAGAACCCACAAGCCATCCAGGGCATCCAGCCAACAGCACCGCCACCATCCCCTGGCTAACCCACTCTCTCACCCTGCCCTTCCTTCCTCCAGCCAGCTCCGAGTGGCCTGAGAGCAGGGTGACTGCCCCCGACACCTCTGCTTGGCAGCCCCCAAGGGTTCCCCAGCTCCGAACCATCACAGGCTCTTCCCTCACCCAGGAAGTTGTGAAACACTATCGCCCCCTGAGGCAGGACGAGTGTAACTGCTTCCCAAATCCTCTCCCTGGCTCCCCTGTCAGGGTCGCCTGCTCTCATCTCTCTAACCATCAATACCCTGCCAACTCCCCAAGGCCTAGGCTCCAAAAGGTGAGGCTCGCAGGCCCTCCCAATTCCTTTCTGGATCCTGCTTGCCCTCACTGTCCTCCCCGGCTGAGGGGCCCTGGGCTTCTCTCTGAGCCTCTCTGAGCCTCCACATCCTCATCACACAGCACTGACTCACCCACCTCCCAGATGAGAGCCTGTCTGCCGGCCTCAAAGCGCTTCACGAACGCTGGCTAGTACAGGCCATGCAGCAGCCTACTACCGACGTGCCAGGCACCGTACTGGGTGCCCAGGATGCCAAGGGAAAGGCAGTCTCAGCCCTCCGGCTGGAGCCAAGGGGCCACCTCCTCCATGAGGCCTGCTCAAGCCCCCCCGCTGAAGGAGTCCGTGCCCCTGCCCCCTCCTCCAACGTGGTACCGGGACATCACACACTCCCACACAGGCTGATGGAGCGCTCCTGGAAGGCAGGGCCATGTCTGGCCCTCCTTGCCACGCTGCCACCCAGCGTGGTGCTAGGCACACAGGAAGCCTCTCCTTCTCTAGTGGAGTTTCCCTGATGAGAACTCAACCCTGAAGCAATACCAGGTGTCTGCTAACTGAACATCATATGAAGGCAAACTCCAGGGCCGGCTTCCCTGAGGCCTGCATGCCTGCCGTCCAGACGCAGACCTGGCCCAGCGTGAGAGGCTGGGGGAGGGGGACCCACCCTCCTGAAGCCCAACCCCCAGGGGAGAGAAGGAAGAATTCAAGGCACAACATACCTGTGACAAGATATTTTTGAGGACCGTCAATGGATTGTCGGTTTCTTGTACACGCGGAAGGTCCTTCAAACTCTCGGCCTTTGCAACTGACTCAGACTCGTCTTCCTGGTGAAAACAAACACATCCTGGTCAATGGCACCAATACTGTTAGGAGACTAGGATGGCCAGGAACAAAGGCCCAGGGGGACTGGACGAGGGGCTTCCCAAGGTCTCGAGGCCATCTGACAAGCAAGGAATTGGATGCAGCTGTTCCATCAAGGGTCAAAGCTTTTTTCACTTTCTCGATAAACATGTCATCCCTCCAAGTGGGGAGATCTGAGAGCACATCTTAACTGAGAGGCTCGAAACCATTCCTCAAGGCCAATGAGAATCACAAGAAAGAACACTGGCCCATCACGGTGTATCTGCTGTTGCTTCTAAGCCAGCCACTGTCACGGGCACCTTCCGAACTGAGAAAAGGCGCCAGCCCGGGTCCTGAGGACACCAAAAGGAAGGGGTACAAGGTAAGAGGGGCAGGAAAAAGGGCCCACGGACTTCACAGGGCAGGCCACGTGACGCCTTCCCTCTGGTGATGATTTCTTATTTGGCCTACCGGTGCCTACTGGTTTGGAGCTTGTCTCCCTCATTAGACTGGCAGCTCCCCAAGGGCAGGACCTGCCATCTGCCTTTCTTTGCATCCCCAACAATCAGCACAATGCCCAGCACCACACTATCTTCTCAGACATCTTCTCAGACATGTCGGCCGTCCCTTCCCTCTTACAAGTAGCCTGGAGTGATTATGGGTGCTTGTGTGGGTCGTAAGAGCTCAGTTTGGATTTTAAGTGACGAACCTGCAGGTGAGCTTCCAAAAGAGATCAATGCCTCTACACATTCTACTGTCTCAGGAAGGGTCCCAGACACATTGGAATGATCTCTAGGGGCCTCGGTCCACGAGGTCTGGCTGGGCAAGCAGAGAAGGAGCAGCCAGGCCAGAAGGGTTCTCTCATGCCCAGCACCGAGGTCCACGTGACTCTGAGGCCCGTCCAAGTAGTCCATCCCTCTGATGGGCCTCCTGATCAGGCAGGTGGTGAATCACAAGGTGACCAGTTTGAGGCACAAGCACTTGAAAAGGTCCCGCCGGTCTCTCCCCAGCCAGATGGGAGGCAGCAGGGAGAGGGCTGCCCTTAGAGCCGGCTTCCGAGCTCCATAAAATCGGGGGTGGGGGGCTCACGGGTTGCTGAGGCCCTTTCAGCTCTGACTCCATCTAGAAACCCACAGCCAGCTGTGTGATTAGGATTAAGTCACTGAACCTCCAGTCCTCATTGAGAAAATGCAAAAATGACCTCTGCAGGGCTGGGATAAGAGCCCCTCGCAAATTTGCAAAGCTACCCAAGCTGAGATACACCCCAGCCCCAGCCCATGCTGAAACTGGCCAAGTGCAAAGACAGAGGTTCAAACCAAATCCATCAAGTCACAAACGTCTTCACCTGCCACGTCTGCAGCCCGGCCCCAGCCCACCTCTCCAACTATCTCCACAACACCAGCCTCTCCTGTCATCGGCTTCAGACATTTCACACTCACTCCCTTCCTCCTACCCACTTTCCAGGAGTCATCAGGCGGGGTCATCCTCACTGGTCACGGTCATTCTCACTAATCATGATCATCTTCCTCAGAGGGTCTTTCTCATCAGTCAGGGTCACCCTCATCAGTAGCGGTCGTGGTCATCCTCATCAGTCTCATCCTCATTGGTCACAGTCACGGTCATCCTCATTGGTTAAGGTCACTGTGCTCACGGGCTAAGGTCACCATCCTCATCAGGTGGGGTCATCCTCAACAGAGCCCTTCCTGCCCCCACCTACCCCCGTTTCCCAGCCTGGCTCTGAAAATACAAATCAAATCAGTCCTGCCAGGACACTCATCCCTGGCTATCACTCTTTTAGAATAGAAACACCCCAAAGCTTGGGACAGTACATTCTCCACACTGGAAACAGACCCCTACCTTAACAAAGAGTTAAAAACTCAAATAATTGGCTGGGATCATGAACAAACAAAGGTGCAAAAAAGTCAGACCATAGAATCCTTCTTTGGTGACAAAGAAGATCAAAACATGCAACCAGAAGAAGGCAATGAAGTCAAAGCTCCTACATCGAAAGCCTCCAAGAAAAATATGAATCAGTCCCAGGCCTTGGAAGAGCTCAAAAAGGATTTTGAGAAATGAGTAAGAGACGTAGAGGAAAAACTGGGAAGAGAAATGAGAGCGATGCAAGAAAATCATGAAAAACAAGTCAACAGCTTGCTAAAGGAGACCCCAAAAAATAAAGGAAGAAAATAACACCTTAAAAAATAGCCTAACCCAAAATGGCAAAAGAGGTTCAAAAAGCCAATGATGAGAAGAATGCCTTAAAAAGTAAAATTTGCCAAATGGAAAAGGAAGTCCAAAAGCTTACTAAAGAAAATACTTCCTCAAAAATTAGAATGGAGCAATTGGAAGCTAGAGACTTTATGAGAAATCAAGACACTGTAAATCAAATCCAAAAGAATGAAAAAAAAACAGAAAACAATGTGAAATATCTCATCAGAAAAACAACTGACCTGGAAAGCAGATCCAGGAGACAGAATTTAAAAATTATTGGACTATCTGAAAGCCCTGATCAAAAAAAGAGCCTAGACATCATCTTTCAAGAAATTATCAAGGAAAACTGCCCTGATATTTTAGAACCAGAGGGCAAAATAGAAATTGAAAGAATCCACTGATCACCTCTTGAATGAGATCCCCAAAGGAAAACTCCTAGGAATATTGCAGCCAAATTCCAGAGTTCCCAGGTCAAGGAGAAAATATTGCAAGCAGCCAGAAAGAAACAACTCAAGTATTGTGGAAACACAATCAGGATAACACAAGGTTTAGCAATTTCTATATTAAGGGACCGGAGGGCATGGAATATAATATTCCAGAGGGCAAAGGGTATAGGATTACAATCAAGAATCACCTACCCAGCAAGACTGAGTATAATCCTTTAGGGGAAAAAATAGTCATTCAGTGAAATAGGGGACTTTCAAGTATTCTTGATGAAAAGACCAGAGCTGAATAGAAAATGTGACTTTCAAATACAAGACTCAAGGGAAACATGAAGAAGTAAACAGGAAAGAGAAATCATAAGAGACTTATTTTAAGGTTGAACTGTTTACATTCCTGCATGGACAGATGATATTCGTAACTCATGAGACCTTTGTCAGTATTAGGGTAGTTGGAGAGAAAAAATTATATGTATGTATATATAGACACATAGAAACACAGGGCACAGGGTGAGTTGAAGATGAAGGGGTGATATATGGAGAATAAATTTAAGGGGTGAGAGGATTTACTGGGAGAAAGAGAAAGGGAGAGAGAGGGAATAAATTTAAGGGGTGAGAGGATTTACTGGGAGAAAGAGAGAGAATGGGGTAAATTATCTCACATAAAACAGACAAGAAAAGGCTTTTTTTCAGTGGGGGGGAAGTGGGGGAGGTGAGAAGGAATGAGTGAATCTTATTCTCATAGGATTTGGCTTAAGGAGGGAATAACATACACACTCAATTGGGTATGGAAATCTATCTTACCCTATAGGAAAATGGGGGGGAGAGGGGACAAGAGAGCAGGGGGATGATAGAGGGGAGGGAGTAATCAGAAGTAAACACTTCTGAGGAGGAACAGGGTCAAAAGAAAGAATAGAATAAATGAGGGGTGGGATAGAATGAAGGGAAATATACTTAGTTTTTTACAACATCACTACTATGGAAGTGTTTTGCATGACTATACATGTATAACCTGTATTGAGTTGCTTACCTTTTCAATGAGGGTGGGTGGGGAGGGAGGAAGGGAGAAAATTTGGAACCCAAGGTTTTAAAAACACATGTTAAAAACTGTGCTCACATGCAACTGGGAATTAAGAAATACAGGAAATGAGTACATAAATCTATCCTCCCCTACAGGAAAACAGAAGGGGAAGGGGATGAGAGAAGGGGGGGAAGAGATAGAAGGGAGGACAGATTAGGGGAAGGGGTAATCAGAATGCACACCATCATGGGGGGGGGGGGAAGGGAGAGATGGGGAGAAAATTTGGAACTCAAAATCTTGTGGAAGTGAATGTTGACAACTAAAAATAAATAAATTTTTAAAAAAAGAAAAAGAAATGACAGCAACAGCAATAAGAGAAGAAATTGAAGAAATCAGAAGTGTCAATGAATCAATAAAGCTATCTCTTTTGCTGATGATATAATGATATACTTGGAAAGTCCTAGAGATTTAACTGAAAAACTAGTTGAAACAATTAATAATTTTAGCAAAGTAGCAGGATATAAAATAAACTCACATAAATCATCAGCAGTTGTATATATCACCAAAAAAACGCTGCATGAAGAGATAGTAAGAAATACCCCACTTAAAATAACCATAGACAGTATAACATTCCTAGGAGCATACCTACCAGGATAAACCCAGGAACTACATGAACATAATCATAAAACACTTTTTCTACAAATAAAATCAGATTTAAATAATTGAAGAAAGATTAATTGTTCATGGGCGGGCAGAGACAATAATATAATAAAAATGATAACTCTACTTAAACTAATTTACTTATTCAATACCATCCCAATTAAATTACCAAAAAATTATTTTACTGAGCTAGAAAAAATAACAAAAGGTCAAGAATATCAAAGGAATTAATAAAAAAAAAAATATAAAGGAAGGAGGTTTAACAGTACCAAATCTTAAACTACATTATAAACTAGTAATTATCAAAAATATCTGATACTGGCTAAGAAATAGAATGGTGGATCAGTAGAACAGAGTAGACATACAATACACAGTAGTAACCTTGTGTTTGAAAAATGTAAAAATTTAAGCTTTGGGAATAAGAATTCACTATTTGGGAAAGCTGGAAAATAGACTGGCAGAAATTGCTTATCAACCAATATCTTACACCATCTACCAAGATAAGGTCAAAATGGACACATGACCTAGATAAAAAGGGAGTTATCATAAGTAAATTAGGAGGACATGGAACGTATTACTTATCAGACTTACGGATAGGAGAAGAATTTTTAGAGAGCATTGTGAGATGTAAAATGGATAATTTTTATTACATTAAATTAAAAAGGGTTTGTACAAACAAAAATCACGTAGCCAACGTAGAAGGAAATCAGAAAATTGGGGGAAAAAATTTTAAAGTCAGTTTCTCGGATAAAGGTCTCATATCTCAAATATATAAGGACCTTTGTCAAATCTATAAGAATATGAGTCATTCACCAACTGATAAATGGTCAAAGGATATGAACAGGCAATTTTTCAATAAAGGAATCAAAAATACACATACATATATAATCAAATGAAAAACTTTTCTAAATCATTATTGACTAGAAAAATGTAACAACTCTGAGACATCATTTCATACCTATCAGATCGACTAAGATGATAGAAGAAAACAACAAATATTGAAGGGGATATGGAAAATTGGGACACTAATACATCATTGGTGGAACTGTGAACTGACCAACCATTTTGGAGAATGATCCAGAACAATGCCCAAAGAGCTATAAAACAGTATACACCTTTGCCCTGGCAATGCCATTATTAGGTCTGTTTCCCAAAAAGATAAAAAGGAAAGAACCCATACGTCCTAAAATGTTTACAGCAGCTCTCTTTGGAGTGGCAAAGAACCAGAAACTGCAGGGATGCCCGTCAACTGGGGAATGGTTGAACCAGCTGTGGTACGTAATTGTGATGGAATATTACTGTGCTATGGGAAATGATGAGCAGGTTGATTTTAGAAAAACACGGAAGAATTCACATGAAATAATAAAAGTGACATTAGCAGAACCAAGAGAATGTTGAATACATTAACAGCAATACTGATGAAAGAATAACTGTGAACAATCACATCATTCTGAGTATTATATATACTCAAATCAACTACAAAGGCCCTATGAAGGAAGATGCTATCCACCTCCAGGGAAAGAACTGTTAGATAGAAGTACACATGGTATATGGTTTTACGCATGTGTGTATGTATATATAAAAATCTGTGTCTATACTGTGGGATGGGGAGGGAGGGAGACAGTTTGGAACTTAAAAAGAATGTAACAAAAAACACAATTAAAAAAAGAGAGAGTCCCAAGAGTGTGTGGGGGCAATAAGGGGGTAGCAGAAAAGACAAAAACAGCCCCCCAAAGATGGCAGGCAGCAGCGCAAAGAGAGATGCGAGTGCTGCCGCATCGTTCAGCCAACACTAGGCATGGCCCCCATGTTTGGCCCAAGGCTTCCTGGAGGAAGCAACAAGGACAGAGCCTGCGAGGGCTGGAGAAGAGAAGCCTGGCCAGGGCCAAAAAGGGGATGCTCAGCCTTGCCTCAGAAATGCATGGTGTCCTACAAGAGAACCCCGACCAGGCAGGAGCCTTCTGGTCCTTGGGGGCAGTCTTTCCCATCACTCTGCTCGCATGCGCCATTCCCTGCCCTTTCTTCCTTCTCATCACTCAAGGGACGATTACAGGGCACCGTGAAAGGTAATGTTGTCTCTTGGGTGTTGCAGGTACCTGGCCTGCCTCCTCAGCTACCTTGCCAAGAACTGATTCTATTTCTTTCACGAGCCCAAGTGCATACAGACACAGTCTACACACAGTAAAGGCTCACTACCTCCCCCCATGAGGAGACCTTTGGAAACAACTGACAGATCGTCGGGGGCCCATGCCCACACTCACCTCAAACTGCCAGTTTCCCAACTGGTCAACATCTTTAATATACACGTGGTAATGTCCTCCATAGCAGCCGCCTTTGTGTATAATAACAGAGAAGAGGTCATACACATACTCTGAGTCATCCAACTCAGTCTAAAAGGAAAAGATGGAAACTGCGTCAGTTGTCATCGGTGAGAACCTGAGCAAAGGAGACGACACGGAACCCCAGGGTTCCACGAGGGGCTGCTGACCATTTAAAAACAAACTTCAGTTACAAAACTGTCAGTGGCTTGATCAGGCACAGATGGCAGCGCACCAGCCAATACTTCTTCCAGGCCTCTAGTGGGCGCCACCGTGCACAGAACGTGGGGTCTGGAGTCCGGAAGACAAGTTCAAATGCAGCCTCTGACACTTATGAGCAGGGTGACCGTGGCCAAGTGACGTCACCTATTTGCCTCAGCTGCCTCAACGGTACAATAGCACCCCCCTCCCAGGGTTGCTGAGGATAAAATGAGACCCTATTTGTACAGTGCTTTGCACACCTCAAACGTCAGCTATTTATCATGGTCCTTATTCCCTCTGAGAAGGTCTATCCTAATACAGGCTCCAAACTATGCCAAGATCTTATTTTGACACCCTAGGCTGAGTTCTGATGAGACCCCACACCCCACCAAGGATCCTGCTACGCCTCCTTTCCTGGAGACTTCGGAGAAAGGGACAAAGTCCTCACACGCCCCCGGAGAAAGCACGAGGGAGGGAGCTCTGCTCGCCCTTTGCCCTTCCCCAGCTCAGAGCCCAAGGTCAGGTGCTCAGCAGCCAGGTCCTAGGTTCACAGGATGGACTTTGTAGTTCCCCCACGGGAGGAGAAGCACACTTCACAAAGCTCTTCCTTTGTTGGATGAGGAGGGGGGGTGAGACTCACTGGGAGGCGAGGGCCACTCTGTCACAGCAAGGGGCCTCAGAGGCCAACAAGCCCGGCCTGGGCCTGAGCCAGGACGGCTCCTCACCTTCTTTGGGTCATGGCCCCCTTAGCCACCAGGTGCAGTCTGTGGACTCCTTTCCAGAATCACACTGTAAACTAATGGAGAGAAGGGCTATACTTCAGCAGAGATGAGTATTAACCAAGCTGTCACTCTGACAAGTCCATGGACCCCCAGGGTAGGCACCCCTTATCCGGATCATCTCCACCAAGTGCTCATCCTACCTTCATTCACAGACCTCAGACCCTTGAAAGTCACCCCACCCCTCCAGGGCAGGCAGGCCCTTCAATTTATTTCTCTTTATTTTTTGAAAGTATTTACCCAAATGAAGAAATTAAAGCTACCTATAATCATATGAAAACATGCTATGAATCACTACTAATTAGAGAAATGCAAATTAAAACCACCTCACACCTATCAGATTAGCTAATATGACAGAAAAGGAAAACGATAAATGTTGGAGAGGATGTGGAAAAAGTGGAACACTAATGCATTGTTGGTGGAGTTGTGAACTAATCCAACCATCCTGGAGAGCAATTTGGAACTATGCCCAAAGGGCTATAAAGCTATGCATACTCTTGGATTCAGCAACACCACTACTAGGTCCATACCCCAAAGAGAGCAAAAGAAAAGGACCCACATGTACAGCAATATTTATAGCAGCTCTCTTTGTGGTGGCAAAGAACTGGAAATTGAGGGGATGCCCATCCACTGGAGATGGTTAAAGAAGCTGTGGTATGTGATTGTAATGGAATACTATTGCTCCACAAGAAACGAGGGGCAGGCAGATTTCAGAAAAACCTGGAAAGAACTGATGCTGAGTGAAGTGAGTAGAACCAGGAGAACATTGTACACAGCAACAGCAACACTGCAACGACCAACTATGAATGACTTAGCTCTTCTCAGCAATACAACGATCCAAGACAATTCCAAAAGACTCATGATGGAAAATGCTGTCCACCTCCAGAGAAAGAACTATGGAGTGTGAATGCAGATGGAAGCATACTGTTGTCACTTTTCGTTTTTTATTTCTTCTTTTTCATGGTTTTCCCATTTTGTTCTGATTCTTCTTTCACAACATGACTAATGTGGAAATGTTTAACATGATTGTACACGTATAGCCCATATCGGACCACTTGCTGTCTTGGGAAGGGGGGGAGGGAGAAAAATCTGGAACTCAAAATCTTACAAAAGTGAATGTTGAAAACTATCTTTACATGTAATTGGAAAAAAACAAAATACTATTAAAGCAAAAAAAAAGTATTTGCCCAAGAAGTTTAGAGAAAGATTTAATTTCAAGTGGAAAGTATTTTTTCAAATGAATTTGGCTGAACATGAAGAGAAGGTGCAGAAACAATTGAGGTAGAATGTGGATGGCTGAGGCTGGAGAACTTGGAATTTGGAGGACAAGGACAGCAGGCCTCCACTAAGCCAAGTTCCCTGATCCTTCCCAAATAACAGCTGAGGCCTATTTCCTGAGATGAAGGCAGAGATGTAGACATGACGAGAGTCAAATCTCACGCCCAGACGTGGGAAAGCACGGAAGCCAGCTCACCAGTAAGAACGTGATGACAACTGACTTTTATCCAGTTCTTTAAGGCTGGGAATGCACTTCTAGGGTCTCTCCCTGGGTCCTCACATTATTGCTGTGGGTGAGGTGCATCTGCAATGCCCATTTTACAGATAAGGCAGCTGAAGCAGATCAGGTGAAGAACCTGCCTGGGGTCACCCAACCAGGAAGTGTGGTCCCATTCAAACTCCAGGCCTTCCCCAATCCAAGTTCAGCTTTCCCTCCACGGTACCACTTACCTGCCTAGACTTGGAGGGAAGAAGACTGCAGCTCCCTGAGGGACATTTTGGGGCTGCTAAGGGGTCTCTGAAGTAAATGCTGCACAGTCCCCGCTATGGCCTGCAAACCCTCCTAACCCGGAACCCGACTGGGCTAACGTGCAATGGTGGAGGGTAGGGGGGACCTTGACCGAGGGCCCTGAATGCCGATTTAAGTAGGTTGGGCCCCATCAGGACGAGAAGCACACTGACCCTGGGAACGAGACGTCACCACTGAGCCACCCCAGAAGCGCGCACTTGGTCACGTCCCACCCAGAGGGGCGATGAGGAAACAAGCCAACAGGAGGGCGCCGACCTGCTCACAGAAGGGCTTCAGGTCCATCCGCAGAGGGAACGTGTAGCAGCCCGTCTCCTTGTAGCGCTCACACTTGGCAAAATCAAAATTAAATCTCAGCAACGAAATTGTCAGAAAAGGAGGCAGCTTCCGCAGCCGGGCTGACTGTGGAGACAAGACCAGCGTCGTGAGGACAGGCGAGGAGTGGCGCAGGTCTGCACACACCCATACACTCAAGGACGCACACATGCTCATGGCAGGTACCCGTGAGGGCTGCAGACAACGTCCAAGGCCGTGGGAAAGCCACAGACTGAAAGGACACGTGACTGACACAAAGTGACCCCCAGAAGAGCCTCCGTACCTCTGTCCATCCTCTGGCCCCCTCAGCCTCTCCCCTTAGCCTCTGCCCTTGTTCCTTTGGGGGATCCAGGACCGCAGGCCAGCCGCCCTCCTCCACACTGCCCTGTCCACATCCCAGCCAGGGATGGGCAACTGCCCACTCACAGCCCCCGAGGGTCCTGCACGTTCACTGGATGGCTTCTCCACGGTCACCCTCAGACACAACGGTGCCCCGCGGTTCGTGGGCATATGGGAGGAGGATAGTCCCAGACATAGATGGTCCCACCCCTCCCATTACTCAGAGGAGGGCTGAGGCCCACAGCAGAGGCCACGGACTCAAACCCAGCTGGGTGTTAAGCTGTGGTGAGGGAGGGAAGGGGAGTCTCAGGGGTGGTCAGCAGACCAGTCCATCAGATTCTCCTTTGAGGTGCCCAGGCGCCATGTCAGAGCGCTAAGGACATCGCCCGGACAGCCCGTCCTCCCTGGGCAACCCTAGATGGACCCACAGAGAGGAAATGCATCGGGGCAGGCAAAGGAAGCCTCCTACAGCAGTGAAAGCAGAAGAAACCAACAGCCCGTTTCCCCAATTCAGCCAGACAAGCTCTGGGGTCCTGCCGCCTTGAATCAATGTGTGACCCTGGGCAGGTCACTTCACCCTTGCCTGCCTCATTTTCCTCCTCTGTAAAATGGGAAAACACCTGCAGAGTCCTTCCTCAGCCCAGTGCCCGGCACACAGCAGGAGCTCAGTCGATGCTCCCTCCCTCACCTTGGTGGCACTGACGAGCCTGTTGCACGTTCCACAGTGATACAGGTTCTCTGCATCGAAGAATTCCTCGTCCACGTATGCGCTCCAAAGAGCTTCCTCGAGGCCAGACAGGTTTTTGACGGCAACCGTCAAGTCCAAGAAGTCCTCCTGTCGCTCAGAGAAAGACAAAAGTCTGTGAGGGGCGCTGGACCAGGAGGCCCGCTGCCTGCAGCCACACAAGGCCAGAGACAAATGATGAGGCCACGAGGCCGTAAGGAGCTTGTCATCTCGGGAGATGGCCTAGAAAGAACTCCTCATTGGACAGGAGAGGAAGTCAAGGCTCCGAGGTCAAAGGGACTGGCCCCAGGTCACACCACACCGGCCAATAAGTGCCTGAGGCGAGATTAGAACCCAGGTCCCCATGACTTTGACCCCCTGGGCCACACGGCTTCTCTTACATGCCTCACCCAGGGCTACAAAGCAGACAGTCCCTGCTACCAGACACATCACCCATCACTCCATCCCCTGCCACTGTGGCAGGGGTCGGTCCACCTGCCCCTTGAAGGGCATACCCTATTCTGCACCTGTGCCCCACCCCCTCCACCCCACCCACCTGAGAGGACAGATGGCTTCCCGAGAGATTCACCAGGACCAAGACGGCTGGTCAGCAACTCCTGGAGTGAAGGGGGGTCAGCACTCTGACTCCCAGAAGCCCTATCAGGTCACTCCTCCATCAGGACCCCCACCTTCCTTCTCCACGGGCCTGCGGCCCCTCAAGAAGCAGTGATTTCTGACCCTTTGCCCAGCCCTGCCCAAAGAGACTCCTTTTGGTGTCCTCAGGTGCCAGGGCCTCGGCCAGGACCCACCTGCCGCTCACTGACGTTCTCACACTCCTTGCACATGATGTGGTTCACGATGGTGCCGTGGTAGAGGCGGTTAATGAGGTCGTGGCCAGAGGTGCCCACCAGGGAGCTCTCCAGCGCACTGAAGAGAATTCGGTTCAGTTCCTGGACATCATGCTGCCTCATCTCCTGCAATACCAGGACAGTCACAAAGTCACTGGCCCGCTCCTCATTTCCACCAAAGACGAAGCCACGGAGAGCTGCCTGTGCACCCACAACACCCACCTCTCACGCTGGGGTTTCTCTAATGGAGAGAGCAGAACTGGAAAACACTTGTCACCAATCGGACAACTGAGGAGAAATCCCAGGAAAACGGGAAAGAATTCTGATTTTCCTGTATACCAACCAGCAGGAGGCTAACAGAGCGCATGCAGGGGAGGGCCTTAGACAACCTGCTTTAATGAACTTGTCATCTGGTAACCAAGTGCAAGTGGGAGAGGGCTTTAGGGGACTTGCTTTAATGAACTAGTCATCTGGTAACAAAGTATATGTGGGAGCAGGCCTTAGGGGACCTGCTTTAATGAAATTGTCATCT